TATTCTATATCTAACGGGTACATATTCTATATCGTTTGTGAAGCATCAACAATTTAGACCAACTCCAACTCGATCTTGCCTTAAGTTGTATTTAACATCTCACCAAGTTCCTTTAAGATTAGGTCAAGCTCGTAATCTTTTGAATGTCTCCTTAGACTTTTGTATTTTTCAGAGCTATTAAGAGAAAAACAATCTGATTAAATCTCATTAACTTTCCGCCAATTTTGTGAGCTCAAAAATGTTAAGAGTCTAAATAATAATGACAAAATTCGACAGCTCCCTGTTAGCAATTTCCACATGTCAGCTTAACACTAGACAGAACTGAACTTTAATTTTCTAGACTGTCTTAACAAGAGCTAGACCGTGATTATAATGTTTTCATTCTTTATTTCACATGTCATTAAATATACACATATACACATATTTATGTACTGTGATGATGATGATACATGTAACTATGTGTACTTTTAACATATAAAATCTGTACTCTTACGGCTCAATTAAAAAAATTCGAGAAAATGATACATTTTACCATAATTAAGAGAAATATCACATTATTACAATATTATTTATAGAGATTTCAAACTAAGCTAGGTAACTACTGCTTATAGAAATTATGTACTTATCACCAACACTCTAAAACAGGATCATGAAAACATAATGATTTGCATTCAATAGGGAATTATTCAGAAGTGACATTTTGTAAGAGGAGATAATGCATGAGCTGCTATATAGAGAACTCAATTAGAGAATATAAACATGTTGATCATATAACATTACATAGTAATCATATAACATCACATGTTGATAATATAAACATTACATGTTGATTAAACAAATTATAGCCTTGATCCTCAACCAAGGGGTCTTGTCCCTGTGAAAAAGTACATTGCTGGGTCAATATCAAGGTCAACTGATATCAAAGTTCAAATCTGCATCTGAAACTGTGCATTTAATCCATAGCTTTAGGTTTATGTAAAAAGGAGGCACTGGATCAAAATAAATATCTAAGTCAAAGTTCATTTATGCATCTGAAAAGCTTTGTTAACAAAATGTATGTCACTGGGTCAAAATAAAAATCTAGTTAAAAATTCATTTTTTATCTAGTCAAAAATCTATAGCTGTAACTTTTAAAACAAAAAATGTAGGTCACAGGGAGTGGGGCTTATTTGACCCCAAGGTTTTATTTGTAAAACTTTGTTAGAGGTCAAGAAGACTATTTCATGTAAAATATCTAAACTCTATCCTTTGTAGTTTTGGAGAAGAGTTCATGAATCACAAGGTTATGGCCATTGCAAATAATTTAATCTGTATATCAAGGTACATGTATTTCCTTAGTCAACATCTGTCCCGTCTTGTCCAGAGGACATTTTCTTCATAAATAACAGTTATAGCCAATTATAGCATAAATCAAGTAAATTCTAAAAAGTAGCTGCCAGTTAAAAATCAAGCAGACCTACATTCATCTATGAGTTTAAGGTAAAGTTTGGTATGGTGCACTTGCAAAAATATAACCAATATTTAAGTTTACAGATGGCAATGTCAATGACACCAGGACTTAGGCAATATTTCAAAATCTTTTTTTTGTTTTGCTTTTTAAATGTTAAACTTACAAGGAAAACTAAAGGAGTGTAGAAAAAGCTTAATTTTTTCCCCTCAAAAGTCAATCATATAAGGAAAACTAAAGGTTGTCCATTTTAGAAAAAAGGGTAAAAACAGTGGTCACTTTCAATTTAGAATAGGTTACACTACTTTGTTTCCTGTTTGGGTGTAAATTTAAATGAGCATTTAGACTTTTCTCAAACTGGCCAATAATTATAATGTTTGAATCAGGCAGCCAAGCCCTAGAGTTAGTAAGATACAATTATTTCTCAAGTACAATATTATACTGATGTTGGTATTAAAACATATATTAAAATGAATAATTCATGTGTTGTGCCTGTAACAGTACCTCTATTTCCGTTCTTAAATGTTATAACAAAATTCATATGAAACAAAACAGGACAATTAGATATTTTATGGGTGTGTATAAATGAATTATTAGCAATAATTGGTGATATCATGGGTTGGGCAATATTTCCACTCAACATACCGTAGATGTCATTGTAACATTTTAGGATTGTGGAATCAACTTATAAATAGATGTGCATATTATGTCATTTGTATTTCATTTATCTTACTTTCTGATTAAAAAGAATGATTGTATCAAGTTTATGAAGCATCATACTAAGAACAAGTGTAATAAACACAATTAAAATTTATTGGAAAATGCATGTTGAAAGTTAATTTCTTGTAGGATTACAATAATTTCAGTAAAACATCCATAGATTTTTTTTTTGGTTGTTTGGTTTTATGATGCACGATGATAGTATAAGTCAAATGGCGACTTCCCACTGCTTTGAATGTAATAATTTACTAGAAAATCTGTTATCAAATGTATAGATAGAAAACCTGAATTAGGGCACATGTCTGATGTAAATATGCTGTCAATTATCATTAAGTGCATGTTCCTAAATTCTTAATTGAAGCTATGAATAGAAGAAATATGTTTCCAATCTATAGAGCTTGATATATATTAAATGTTTTCATTATAATGCAGTGCATATTGTACATGTTTATATATTATATACTTGTGAACAAATAGTATACAAATGCTGTATATTATGATATCAACATTTTATAAGATTAGATAATGAAAAAATGTAGGCTTATAGTTGCTTAATGCACTAATGCAGAATATATTTTACTTATCAAGATACATTTTTCAATGAATTCTAAATGTGCATCCCATTTGATTTTTAGTGTGCAGCTTCTTAACATGATTAAATCATTCTTTTCCATAAGGGAGTAGCATAATAAAATAGTAAGATTAGAAAGCATAGTATTATTATCCTAGCTAACTGTATAGAATATGGGAGGCAACTGTGTCACACCATTTCAAGAAGTTTAGCTAGAGTTATCTCCATTATTTAGTTGATATGCTCAAGACAAATTTTTCAGTTATGTCAATATCTGAAGGTGACCGCATTAAATTTATAAATTTGCAAGAGGACTAACTTTGAAAACACTTTTAACAACATTCAGTCATTCAACAAGTTGGCTATAATTATCAAAATAAAGCACTGGTCAGCATACATAATTTAATATTATTTCTGTAAACTAAATTTTTTTTTTACAAGATTATTTGTCAAGACATTCTGATCTGACTTGGGTATAATGAAGCTGATAAAAATTAACTTGTAAGATAGTTATAATTAAGATCATTCTGACCTTTCGATGTTTCTATTTTATCCTTTGAATATGCGTATAACATACATACTTATGTCACCAATTATCTACACCTAGACTAGACTCAGCTATCACAGTTTATAAACACACTGTACTAGCTTAATTCAATGTGTACCGCATCTTGCAATTACAAGCTCATGCACATTTCTTAGGAGCCTGTATACATTTTTAGCAATTATAGGAAGTCGACTTGTTGATATACTGCCACTTTGATTGATAGCTTGTTTAAACTTAAATTCCTTATACAGATATAGGACTGTTTTATATAGACTTACTCCGGAATTAAGAATATTTTGGGTTTTTCCCAGTTAATTCTGGGGAACAAACAAACTTTTACAGCTTCTAAAATAAGCACAACAGGCTGAATTACCTATTATGAATGGCAGTGCACCATGAAGGTTCCAGTAAAAGTTTGTTTGTACCGGAGGGTATTAGCTTGGAAAAACCCACATTTGCGGAGTTCTGGATAACAACTTTTCAAAGTGGGCAAGTCCATTATAAAACATTACCAACGCAAGTGTGATCATTTTTATTATACATGCCCCATTAAATTTTATCTATGGATCAAATGAGATCAATACCAGGATGTAACACCTGTTTGAAAGTCATTACTATTAGACCACCATATTTCAAAAATCTGATTACAATCAGACATATTTTTTCTAAAAAATACAGTAAGGTCTGAACTTATTCGACATTGCATGTTTCACCTACTTAAAGACCAGATGTTTATAAAATGAGCTGATACAATCTGTTGACAAGCTGTTTTTCAAGACACATTGTACATGTACCAGTAACTACCTAACCCCGTTTAAAACATTTGCTATCAAAATTGGCAGTGTTTTACTCAGCTAATGGACGTTTGAATAACAAGATTTCATCTCTTAATGCAGTTTGTTTAATTTCCTTTTCAGATTAAAATATTTACCAACTAACCTGCTAATAGACCCAGGCAAATCTACACCTTCTGCAGTCTAGGCTCTATGCTAATGGTAACTCAATTTTTGTATTTTAATATTGAAATCCCTTAAAATTGCACTGTACTAAACTCAGAGCGAGTTCAGCTGGGCATGGGTAAGTTTATTTTCAATAATTCTCGTTTAGACTAAATTGTATTATCATCTACAAACTTTACACTTACAGATCCTGACTTTGGTTCGTTTGAAGGTTGTAACTATTTTACCAGTATCAGTCTATTATGGTAGCTTAAAGGATTACAAGTGCATAAATTCAATAATGGTCTTCATTCCTCCAGCCTGGTATATGAGCTTCAATTGGATACGTCCTCTACCAGTTTTGCTAGCAAGTGGTTTATTTTGAAGTCGTGTAGGCCAAATGGCATGAGATCAAAATCAGTTTTATCAATAAAGTATTATCAAAGGCTTGAATTGACAGACTGGTGACCCCAACCACTTGGCCAGATATATCTATGGAACATTTTTTTTCAGGTGAAATAGTCCCAAAGATGTGAAATGTATGGAGGACATCTGAAACTAAGAACACTTAAAGTAACAAACCAAGATGAATCTATACAGTCCAATAACAACAACACTCTGAGCAACAGAAATCATCATAAAACATTATTCAGAAACGGCTATTACTATTAAGCTCCAAGTAAATGTACAGCTACAAGCAATAAATTATATCACTGCCCAGTTTGGTAATAATCTGCAAACAAAACACTAGCGGTTTAAATAATAAGAGAAAGTAGATAAGATTTTTCTCTTTATTTTCCGGTATTTTAACAGGGCATAACTTAAGCTTTTGTTTCAGATTTTGACGTTGAAGCAGTCCTACTGTTAGATCGGCTTCTTTTTCTCTCCTTAGCTTCTTTAAGTCTCAAAGCAAGCAGTTTAGCATATTCTGCTGCATCTTCACGTTTCTTGGTGGAGCGTCTCCTCTTCAATGCCATACGGTGACGTTTTCTTTGTAAAACAACTGGTGTCACAAGCCTCTGAATCTTAGGAGCCTTACTTCTTGCCTTCAGTTCTGAAATTATATAAGAATATATTTCATGGTTATCAACAAAGAAGTGGTTTATAAACAAGAGGGCCATGATGGCCCTAGATCGCTCACCTGAATTATCAAACTCATCCAAACAATTACCTAGACAAGCATTCTGACCAAGTCTCATGACAGGTGAGTCAAAAATGTGACCACTACAGTGTTAACAAGGATTATCCATATTTGAGCAGTGCGACCTAGTTTTTTACCCAGGTGACACATATTCAAACTTGACCTAGAAATCATCAAAACAAACTTTCAGACCAATTTCCAGGATACTTGGATCAAAACAGTAGCAACTAGAGTGTTAACAAGATTTTTCTATTTTTAGCTCCGGTGACCTAGTTTCACATGCGATTTCGAACTCATCCAAGCAATTACCTAGACAAACATCCTGACCAAGTTTTGATGATAATTGAGTCGAAAATGTGACCACTAGAATGTTAACAAGGTTTTTCCATATTTGGGCGGTGTGACCTAGTTTTTCATCCAAGATGACCCATGTTCGATCTTGACTTAGAAATCATCAAAACAAACTTTCAGACCAATTAACAGAATATTTGGATCACAACAGTAGCCACTAGAGTGTTAACAAGATTTTTTTCTATTTTTAGCTCCTGTGACCTAGTTTTTCATCCGAAATGTCCCATGTTCGATTTATTCCCAGCAATGACCTAGACAAGTTTCCTGACCAAGTTTGATGACAATTGAGTCAAAATTGTGAAACCACTAGAGTGTTAACAAGGTTTTTCTATTTTTTAGCTCCTGTGACCTAGTTTTTTCATCCGAGATGACCCATGTTCGAACTCATCCGAGCTATCACCTAGACAAGCATCTTGATCAAGTTTGATGATGATTGATGCAAAAATGTGACCGCTAAAGTGTTAACAAGGTTTTTCTATTTTTAGCTCTGGTGACCTACTTTTTCATCCGAGATGACCCATGTTCGAACTCATCCAAGCTATCAACTAGATAAGCATCCTGACCAAGTTTGATGATGATTGATGCAAAAAATGTGACCACTAGAGTGTTCACAAGGTTTTTTCTATTTATAGCTCCGGTGACCTAGTTTTTCATCCGAGATGACCCATATTCGAACTCATCCGAGCTATTATCTAAACAAGCATCCTGACAAAGTTTGATGATGATTGGGTCAAAAATGTGACCACTAGAGTGTTCACAAGGTTTTTCTATTTTTAGCTCCTGTGACCTAGTTTTTCATCAGAGATGACCCATGTTCGAACTCATCCAAGCAATTGACTAGACAAGCATTCTGACCAAGTTTGATGATGATTGGTTCAAAAATGTGACCACTAGAGTGTTCACAAGGTTTTTCTATTTATAGCTCCTGTGACCTACTTTTTCATCCGAGATGACCCATGTTCGAACTCATCCAAGCTATCACCTAGACAAACATCCTGACCAAGTTTGATGATGATTGGGTCAAAAATGTGACCTCTAGAGTGTTCACAAGGTTTATCTATTTTTAGCTCTTGTGACCTAGTTTTTCATCCGAGATGACCCATGTTCGAACTCATCCGAGCTTTCAACTAGATAAGCATCCTGACCAAGTTTGATGATGATTGAGGCAAAAATGCGACCGCTAGAGTGTTCACAAGTAATTGTGGACGGCCGGACGGACGACGGACGACGGACATTCACCGATCCTAAAAGCTCACCCTGAGCAAGCTCAGGTGAGCTAAAAAGATTTCTATAACCTGTGTTAAAAATTCAATATATATACTAATTTGCAAGCTTAGTATTTGTTTTTTTCCCCCTAATTTGGATTTTTTCCTACATCATATAGGCTTTTGCCCATGAAACATCAAAACAAATTGTCTTGCTCAGGTATTAACCAGGATTGCCACAACATCATCTTGACTTGCTTGTCTAATTTATGTGAAGCATTTCTTGACATGTCCTTATAAAAATTCAACTTGTCTGTACAACCTGTGGAACAAACTTTGCAATACGGACAATAACTGTCCGAGAGCTTGATTTCAACATGAGCAGACTTATAAAATGCCAGTGGAAATTGCCAACAGTACTTATTTTTGCTAAACTTGCAAAATGTTTCATGTGCTGAGATAGGACATAAGTTATATGCTTGGATGATATGATTAGTTCTAGTGACAGTGATTTTTTCCCCTGTATTTTACAGCCGAATAAAGGCTGTTTCCCCTAGCTCAAAATAGTTATATTTTCCCCTAAAAAAGCCAATTTTTCCCCTGAAATGCCCTGTGCACTTCTTCACCAGAACCATGACTTATCAGCATATGACTAACTATATCAGCTAGAAGACAGAAAGCTTTCCCTGTAGCCTCTGCTATGTACCATGCATGTTAAATTTAATTGAAATTGAAAGTTGTGTGGGTAAATTTCATTCTCAATTGTTGGAATTTGATTTCCCCTTTTCTATTTTATCGCGCTATATTTCCCCCTTCAGAAAGCCACAGGTTGTTTTGAAAATTGGAAAAAAAAAATCACTGAGTGAGCTAAAATTCCTTGAACTTGCACAAATTTGAGGATATAAAATAGAGTAAATTCAAGTCCTAATGTCTATACTTCAGGCTATTCATATTAACCACTTTTTCTATTCATATAAACATAACAATAAATAAGAGAGGGGCTGCATATTAGGTGCTGTAACATTTTACTGTTTACATACAATTTTCATGTGTAATAACAGACTAATGAATTTCAAAAAATATTTCTCAAGATAAAGATTTATACCCTTGAAAGTTTTTTCTCATGTCAAGTATTTGAATTAGGCGATTTAACATTTAAACTAGTTAATGGCACTTACTATCCACAGAAAATACCTAAAACTTGTCAAAATATACAGTAATTTCTTGCTCTGTAAGTTTTGGGATAGAAATACTTACATGTAATTCTGATTAAGCTTAAAATTTTCTCATGTATTTAAATCTTATTATATAACAACACTCTTCAAGCAAAAACTGCTTTAGATTAAAATATTGAAACAAACTGGTAAACACATACTGTCAGTAGCTGGAAGTGGTCGCCTGACAACATATTGTCTAACATCGTCTTCTTTGTTTAGATTAAACAGGCGTCGGATCTTGCTTGCTCTCTTGGGTCCAAGACGACGGGGAACAGTCTTGTCTGTGAGGCCTGGAATCTCTTGTTCTCCTGAAAATATGTTAAACAAGTTTAGTTACTAGCAATTACATTGCTGTTAACATTTATTGTTGAACATATATCATAGCAAATAGTATGATTATAAATAAAATCAACAATAATTTATCACTGCAAACAAACTGAAATTCTAGCGTCATTCCTTCCAATAGTATACCTTTACTGTTCAAGCTGATTAGTATTTAAGTTAAATAATTACTGACTGTAGGGTAATGATTTAGAATACAACAACAAAACTACACCTCCTACCTTTCTTTACAATAGTGAGAGCAAGCACACTGAGGTTACTGTCTACAATGCAGCCTCGAACAGACTTCCTCTTCCTCTCTCCCTTCCTGCGGGGTCTGTAGCAGGAGTGACCTTTGCTCATAAGCAACTTGACTCTGCCATTAGTCAGAACTCCCTGTTTCATTGGGAAACCCTGCTTGTCATTGCCACCAGTTATACGTAGAACATAGCCCTACAAAATTAACATATACCTAAAAACAATACTTTTCATTTAAAAATATAATAAATAAAATATTTTAAAATTGAAGCAGACATGCTTCTTTTTGTAACAAACACTAAGAACTTTCAAAATCTTAATTTAAAATAAAGCAGTCTTTCATGTCCATCAAACTTAGAAATTTGCGCCAGTCCACTGCCCAAGGCCACTTTAAATCAAGCGCTGGTCCTGTGATTATTGCTATGTTGGTGGTCCAACGGGCCAGTAAAATTTGTTTGCCATAACAAGTATCTTAAGAAACAATCATCATTTGAAAGTGATTAATGTCAAGATAAAATTTAAATCTAAGTATACCTGAGTAACCTAATCAGAATAATAACTTAAACTGAAATATTAAAATGAATTTATATCAGAAATTTACAAATTTTCAGTGGATAAAAACAAAATTTCTTGGAGTTCATGTTTATTCTTTGTTGATAAAACAGACTATTACCAATGTTGCAGGTGCCGGTGCCAAAAGATGATCTTTTCTAAACATTTCAACAAACAAAAATTTACAGATTCATCAAAATATTTAAACACACTGATCATTGTATGATTAAATACACCACTTTGTGTAGCATGTATCAATTCATGCATCATACATTAATCTGGCAATCTACTAGACCTGTTAATCATTCCATTATGAATATTTTACCTTCCACTCATCTCCAAGACAGTCGGCAGAGATTTCTGTGGCAATTCTCTTCTCATACAGGGGTCTTATTCTTTTCTCATCATCTACTTCAATTAACTTCTGACAGCCAGTGGCTGGGTAAGATATGTTCAGCTATAAGAAGAAAATAAAAACAATATAATTATGATCACTTCAGAATTAAAAAGACATAACTCCAAAAAATACAGCTTTAAGAATTATGCAACTTGTCTTACAACTGCAGGTTGTCATGATAAACAAGTACTCCAAAATATGTTGATAACTTTGACAAAATGAAATCCAGCATCTACCTCTCTCATTATACATGTTTAAACAGAATTAATGACTGCAAACTTAAATATGACTGGAGGCAGATGCCAATTGATGAATTGTTTATGTTACACTGACATCACATTAAAATCAATAAAAAAAATATGTCTAAGTGTAACATGTTTGAGAAAAGTCCTCAACTGGGCGCCACCTTTTAGAAAATATTGCAATGGTTCTATAACTGAGCTATAATTGATTTCAGAACGCTTTTGAAAAAACATTTAATGAAAGGAGGCCCAAGCTTTGGCTTGCCCGGCTATCGACTACATGTGTATATTTAAAATAAATATATATATATAGAATTCTAAGTAAACCCAAGTCTACTTTTCAGTGTCATTTCAAATTGGGCACCATCATTTTTAATGTAACTCAATGATAATCCCCTGTGTATTCCGATTACATATGAATCAACAACTTTTAGACTGAAGAATAATCGGAGTTCCAATTGAAAACTGAATCGATGCATGAAATACTATCTATCTACATCATACTGCTTCAAAATTGTAATTAATTACACTAAGCAGGCACGTTATCTGGGAATAGCTGTTAAAAACAAATATGTAAGGTGCAAATTTATAGGCACAAGGTAAAAGCAAGTTAAAAAGAACTACAAGACAGAGATAAAATTTAAAATCAAAGTTGGCTTGGAACTGGTAAAAAGGATGCCCAGTAAGAGGTCTAAACTGGGACTAGCTTGTAAGGACATGGGTAGGCCAAATACTGAATGACATCTTCAAAACATAAAATGTAAAATAAAAATATGAACAAAGTTTTTTGTTATCTGACTTTCCCATTCATAAGACTTGCCTACTTTAACATTATACTAAAAATATTAAATCAGCCTATTATATATACCCTTGTTTTGACCCCTGGGCCTGGGTCTAAAATTATATTGGATGCAACACATACTGTGCATTGGACTATTAACTTAAGCTTGGATATGAAAAACTAAACGTTTCACAACAATGTTATTGAATACAGAAGAATTAAAAGCATATGAGCTTGAAGATATTAAAGTAATCAAGGTGAAACAGGCCCGACATGAAAACTTTTGACACTTAAACCAAAATAGTACACCTTCATGATCAAGTAAAATCGGAGGGAATCCGCATATATTTTTCACGAATGAACTTAAATTACTGATTGTATTGAAATTTAAGGTATTGAATGGACGTTGCTCTTTCTATTTTAGCTATTTCACATCTGGATACCCATATATTTGTCTTTGTTTTCGTACCTTCATGCCGATCCAAACGATCAGTTCGGCTTCAACCGGAAGAAAGAACGATTCCGGAAGTTGAAGAAATAATCTCAATTCTTTTTATTATTTTACAGTCACAGAATGATAATAACTGAAAATAAAGAATAAAAAATTAAAAATAAGATTTTAATAATATTGGTACAAGTAAAAAGCTCTTTTTGCATCTTTGAAATGTTTTAAAGCATGGATTTTACTTTGTGCTGAGACTACAAATGATCTGGGTTAATAAACGCGCGCTTAAAGATCAAAACACACAACAAGGAATTTTTGCGAACTAGATTTAAGTTTTAAAACGAAAGCGACAACATAGAACTAGACCGCAGATGTTCCCATTTACATTGGCTTACAGGTGTTTGTTTCATTTGCTAACAGAACAAAAAAATTTCTTTGCCTTCCTGAATGAATGAAAATGTATCCATAAAACGCGAAAACCCATGATAATGTGCAGGTTATAAACAACTATTTTTTTCGAAATCACTCTCTGTTGTTTTACATACTGCTGAGTTATGTATATTGTATTTAATGTCAGCTGTTTTACAGTTATATGAAGATAAATGTTACCATGCCATGAAAAACCTTTATGATTTAATTACAATCATAATATGAAATTAGGTGCTACCTGAGAATGGCGCGGAAAGCATTTATCATTTAATAATATGAAATAAGGTGCTACCTAATATGAAATTAGGCAAAGCCTATAGACGGGGAAGTCGTTAAAAAATCCTTTCTTTCCGTTTAAAAGGTGTCATTCGGTATTACATGCACTGCTTCCGTTTTCACTCGGAACACTCGACGATTATTATTTATCCGAAAAGTTGAGATTTGTTCCGTTATCGGAATACCCCGCCTATTATCATTGAGTTACATTGTAAATGGCGGCGCCCGACTAGAACTGACACAGAAAATTTCATTGATAGGTATAGAATTCTATATATTTTTTAATTGTCTTTTTATTTGATTTTATTTTAAATATACACATGTAGTCTATAGCCGGGCAAGCCAAAGCCCGGACCCGCTTCGCGGGCCCGGTCTTTGACTTCCCCGTATTAGAGGTGCAACGATACCTTTCGATGCATCGAAAACCGGTTTTATGAACGCCGATTCGATATCCGATACCAACTGTAACATTTTCGATTCGATTCCTCACCCACAAATAAACATGGAAAAAAAGTGAGAGTTTTAGTCTTTCCCTTCGCGCTTCATCACATTAAATACGATTGGCCAGTTAAAACTCGGTCATCCAATCAGTGGGCGCGTAATGTTTTATTTTCGGCAAACAAGTCAAAATGGCTACCAACATCAATGTTGATAAAATAAAATTAAAAAATCCTCCTAAAATATTAAAATCAAAGGTTTGGGAACACTTTGGGTTTCGGAAAGGCCAGGACACGGATAAAGCTACTTGCAAAATATGCTTTATGGACGTGTCATATCCAAAGTCCAGCAGTACGTCTAATTTAATGCAACATATGAAACGAAAACACGATGTCATGGATGTGGACTTGTCTTTTAAGCTTTATTCGTGTCCTGGCCTTCCCGAAATAAGTTTGATTAGTACTACAGTAAGTAGGCATATTTGACATTGGGATTGATGATTATTTCTTTAGTCAAGTGTGAAAATAAGTGATAATTTCATGAATTTCATTTTTTCTGTATTGTTTACTAGACTAAGAAGTATTGTGTGACAACACTGACATTAGGATTGATTATTCATTTTACATATTATGGGAATTATAAACAGAATATCTGAATATTCATTTTGCATATCATGGGAATTATAAACAGAATATCTGAATATCAGTTCTAACAACCTTGTGAAACTTTGTTTATTATTATTTACTTTACAATTTACATACTTTGTTAAATTTCTAGTCAGTAGTCAGCAGAAGGTATCTGTGATAGTCATGTTACTGAGATTAATGATTATTTGCCTGATTAAAATTATTTTCCAAATAGACAAGAGCTTTTTATTCTCATAAACACAATTCTTAACCTTTTCCCTGATACAGCCCCCTTAATTTACTGCTTTACACCCCATAATACAGTAGCCAGATAGATAATCAATAATCAATATCCTACTGATAAGGAGTCACACACTATCTCCATATAGGGTATGATAAATTATAGGTAAAATTGGTCAAATTAGATACCTATATACTTTAACTGGAAAATAAAGTATTAAGTTGTGTTTTGACAATTTTTGTATCAATAAAAAGTTTGTAGAGAATTGAAATACCTTTCCAATGGTATAAATATCATATTTGTTGGGTTTATACAAATATGTCTACATGAGTTATAAAGTAATAAACTATATACTAGGTGTTTTTTTCTCCATTGTTTCAGATAAATTAGGCTACTTATGTGTTTTAACTAATGTGAAATGGTTTAATTACAAGTTTGACAATATATATGTCAATGTAAGATTTGTAGAGATTTGAATTATCTTTCCAGTGGTATAAATTTTATATTTGTGGGCTTTATAACAGTATAATTACAGTAGTTATAAACAATAAAATGATGTATAATTTTTTCTCTCATTAGGGAAATATGGCTAATTTATTATTAATTTTTTTGGTTTATGCAGCATTCATTTTTAGTGAAATAAATAACAACAAGTTCTTTTTTTACCTTTTTTTATACCAGTAAAAAGAAATCTCACTTTTTTTTTTTTATTTATTTTATCAGTTTTTTTTTTATATTTTATTTCATAATAGTAACTGTCATTTCTGTAATACATGTATATAACTGTTGAATGAAATATTTCAGAATTTCTGCTGTCATGGTCATATATTTTCTTCATGAATTATGAATTTAATTAAATTTTATCATTTATAGATCTAATTTAGATCAAATGATGATAAAGGAAAGACATCCTCGAGTTCCACGGCCTTTTCGGCATTTTCATGTTGCCGACATCAAAGATGATATATGGGATATGATTTTATCATGTCGTATAATACACGGCCCCATGCTGTGTCTGTTATGAAAACAATAGCGCACATGAAAGAATTTAAACTATTAAACATTTCTTTGTCGGTCATTTTCTTAAAAAAATCGCCGCTGCTACCGGAAATATTTTATTGCAGGGGCCAGAGAGATACCCCTTGTCAGGACGTTAATTAATCCGTGTATATACACATGTCAGCTATCATAAACCAAAACAAACATCAAATCCATTATACCATGCCTGGCACGTGAACGACCCGTGATCATATAAATACTATTTATTCATTAGATGCTATTTTTAGACACTTTTGTTCCTGTCTTACGATACGTTCTATATTTATTTCATTGACCCGCGCACTCATTAACTGCGTGACGTAAGGAAAACCCCTCACCTGGTTGGTCGCTAATTATACAAAAACTTTAAATAGTAACACCATAATTTTATGCACGGAATCCCCTCATGAAATGTTGATCTTTACGATAACACAATTTACAGGTCTATTTTCCGGGAAAATTGTTGATTTTTGGACAGGTAAATATTGAAGTCGGCGAAAGTCGCTTCCATTGAGATCATGCATGTCGGCGATTCTCGCTTACATGCGGTAATCGATAAAGCCGTCGATTCTCGCTTCTATCAGGGAATGGTAAAAGACGGCGATTCTCGCTTCTATAAGGGAAAAGGTTAAGTCAAATAAGTTTATATAATAGTTATATTACAGAAAAGCAAAGCACTAGGTTGAAGGCCACTCACTTTTGGAACAGACAAGCAGAATTATATACCAAAGATAAATTAGTAATCAGAAATGTATCGAATCGAAAAAAATCGAATCGAAGTGTCTAAAATCGAAATCGAATCGAATCGAACATTTGGTGTATCGTTGCAGCCCTACTACCTATGGCGCGGAAAGCTCTTATGATTTATGATTAAAGCATAACATGTTTAGTGTAATGTTAACAAGATCTATAATGCAATTCATTAATAAGTAAATGCAGGTATTTTGTACCGTAATTAGAAACGAATAAATTGGTGGTGTTCAACCTATCATCGGAAGAGGGACCACTGCGCATGCATCGGCGTTTGGAAAATCCCGTCCGCCATTTTCTGTTAATCTCTAATCACATATGTTGTTTTTACTTTATTTTTAATGTGCTAATTTATCAAAAAGGATTTAAAAGTAACTTTTTACATTTATCATCGTTACTACAGTTTTTATGAATGAATTGAATGTTTATTTTCTGATTTTGTACATCAATCTTTCGGAAGTGTTATTAAGCATGCGTCTGCTAGCAATAGTCTGAATGATGTAGACGCTCATTAAAAGCGCTGTGATATCTATATTTAGCTCAAAGGATTTCAAAATGGCGGCGCCTTGTTAACTAAGGATTTTTTCACAGCTCATTAGGTATAGGATATATATTTTTTGAAAATTTTCATTTACTTTTAATTTGATTTCATTTGAATTGATACGCGTCATACATGTTATCTAAGAGCGCTACAGCCCTCGCGGGGCCTTTGGCCCCGCTCGGACTTTCCGCGTATCAAACATAGAGCTACATAAAAACCAGATCTTTCTTGCTCTTCGTAAATAAGTAAATGCAGATATTTTGTACCGTAAAACAGATACAAATAAAATCATGGTGCTCAACCAATCATCAGAATGCTCCGAATATTTCCGGAAATCCCGAAACTCCTCGCAGTGAATTGATTGGCTATGCTCTGTGAAGCAAAGCAAAGGGAGACAAGTGCGTCAGAGTTTCGAAAATTCATTCTGCCATTTTTTTTATTAATCTCTAATCACAGGTTAATGTTTTAACGTTATCTGTAATGTACTGGTTCATGTTAATGGACAGGGCTCCAGATAAGATGCGTATACGCGTAAATTACGCATGGAAATAACACATTTATGCATTCAAAACAAAATTTGAGCGTATGAAAACGCACACAAAATTCAGGTTACGCATTGAGCAACATGGTGATTATCTTATTTTTAATTTCGTCTGAACGCTTTGCAAGCGTCTACCGGTAACTTCCTGTAGTTCCGACCATTATCGGTTGTTATCGTATGTATAGTATGGTGGTGGAATTAACTTCGTATGAATGCTTTGCAACGTCTTACGGTAACTTCCTGTAGTTCCGACTATCATCGGATGTTATCGTATGTATAGTAAGGTGGTGGAATTAACGCAATTTCATAAACATCCGGTACAATGTCGCTGTCAAAAGTTAAAACGATTGACTCGTATTTTCAGCCGAAAAAAATCGGCGAAGGTTGTAATTAATGAAATTATTAGCGCTGCCACATATGAGCAACAGAAACATTCCTCAGGTTCAGATAAAACGTATGCCATTTGGAAATGCAAGATTATAAACCAAGGGAGTCCAAATAGCAAAATAAATGACTGACATATCTTGTATTACAAGTATGATAATGCAAAAAATTGGAAGCATGATAAATGTTTTACTCTTTTACATACATTTTAAGGAGTAAAAATACTCCTGCCAAATTTCAGATTTCAAGTTTTACTCATTCACAAAAAAATCAATGAGTAATTACTCATTGCCCTAAATAATTATCTGGAGCCCTGATGGATATGTTAAAGGTATTTTTAACTTTTTTTCTCATGATCACAAAGAAGAAAACTATCCTTTTTTTTTCGCCAGTTTACATTCTTCATTCATTATCAGTGTTCCCATTCACGCACAAATGTACGTGAATCACGCATAATTTACAAAAATCACGCATGAAATTACAGCTAGGTGCGTGCATGCACATATAAAAATTGAAGTAAAACTGCCAAAAAATTATCCGCAAATTCGAAGCACATATCAATAATCTACTCATAAATCTCTGAAATTGTTTACAAGACCGTAATTTAATCCCATCAGTCATAACTGAGGTCATGACTCGGGTTTCCCAGCTGTTCTATTTTTAGCTCATGGACTGGTTTATAATTATTAACGTCGCTTCGCGACGCTCTATATTAAAAGCAGTAACAAGTCTACATCCGGGTGATACAAATAAGCCGTCTGAAATATTAAAAAAATCGCCGGAAAAGTTATTGAATATGCAACGCAATTTAAATGAATGGTTCCATAAAAGCGATTCCAGCGAAAATCGCCGACCCTTACTCAATCCTCTAGCGCAAATCAAAAACCAGGCCTTAGTGAAAATAGTGTTGAACCCCCCAAAAGAAACATTGCAAGCGATTTCAGAACTCCTGGTTGTTTGAATTTTCATGGCTTAGATTTTACAAAGACAATGGGAAAATGTTTTGTTTAACATGCGAGACATATGAAAAAAAACACTAAAAAGTGTCTGAAATCGGCGTTTACAATTGGGACTAATAATTTCCAGCGGTCAGCATTAGTTAGACACCAGAAATGTGACGATCACAATGTGTCATGCAACGCCAAAAAGCAACAATCTTACATGACTGCTGCTGTAAAAATAGTATGTGTTTAACTGACTTGCTTGTCTTTATAGTTTGTACCCCCTAAATATTCTGTGCACCCCCAAAAATATGACCTAGGGGGTACATGTACCCTCAACTTTAAATTCTAGTGGGAACACTGATTATCATATAAATATCTGTGTGAAGAGATGAATTAGATCTTTAAAAGTTCATTCTGTTGGGTGAAAAAGCATTTAATCATTTAAGGGCCTTGTGCAGTATATACTGGAATACGGTATTTAGTGTAATGCAACACATTTACTCCATTTTTGTTAATGTCTATTCAAAGTTGTTGTTTTTATGTTACATTTGTATTTTAACATGATGATTTTTTCAAAAATGATGTAAAAAATTTCTAAATCATTCATTTGCCAAAAGTATCATTCTAATCTAGCAACAGTCTGAATTGTGTAAGTGCTTTTATTAGATGGTTTTTTCAAAAGTGCCTGAAATCTAATTATAGCTCAAACTAGAGCAGAGCTGTCATCAATAGAGACAATATCGATGTATCGTTGGTATTTTTCTGTCGATCAATAATCAATACGCATTTAAAAAATCGAATATTTTTATTTATTATTTAAATGTGTATAAATTATGAAAATTTACTAAAAATTCATACAAAAAGCAAGTGGCCATGTCTAACACTAAGCTGTTGTTACATAATGGACACATTTCATAGCAGTGATGACAAAATATAGTCGGAAAAAAATCATGCAAAGGTCCATTAGAGACAGGACACAACATATTTACATGAACAGAACATTTATTTTACTAAAATCATTTAAACAGATAAGAAAAAGTTCTATTATATACATGAAAATAAGAGTATTTATTGATAAATCGGTGTATCGCCGATATGTGTCAACCGATATTGATGTAACATCAATATGCTAATCAATGACAGCTCTAGCTCAAATATAGAACCAGTCCAGTATTTTCAAAATGGTTGCAGCCATCTAGCTAGGGATTTTTCTCAAATGTTAAACTCAGACATGCATGTATATTTTTTTTATTGATTTTAATGTGATTTACAGCCCTTGTAGGGCTTTTTTCACAGGCTGTGGAAGCACTGGGCCCTTCCGCTAATTTTGGGGAAAAATATGATATTTTTATAAAGTGGAGGAAAAAAACTTTGTCAATTAAATTTTTAGGGAAAACTGCATGATTTTAAAGAATTTTTCCTTAAATGGTCCCTTCTACAGAAGGAAAAAACCCAACTGATTCATATTAGCTCAGCAGATATGATTTATTGATATGTTTATATGATATTTACAGAAGAATGTTAAGAAGAATTTCAATAATTTCTTGCTGATAATGGATGAGATGGAGGATTCCAATTTCACAGAGAACACCCAAGGACAGTCCAGTTTTATAATATTACCATCCCAAGAGGAATCCCAACAAGAATCCCAACCTGACAAACAAATGATCAAAATCATCAAAAATCTGCCGGCTTTACAAGTAAGTTCCAGATATAATTTTATGACTTATTTTTCAGTGACTTTTACCAACTGAATGAGTCATTTGATGTCTATTAAAGAAACTGATTGACAGTAAAAATATTAATTGCTTTCATCATATACAATAATACATTTATTACTATAAAGTATAATACATTTATATTCACTGCCAATAGTTTTATTAAAGTGAAGGCACGTTTGTTAAACGTAAAAGAGCATCATATGATGTCAAATTAAATTGACTGTTATTGAGTTTGGAAAAGAAAACTCTTTAATTGTCCATGTGCATGTGAGAGAAAGTTTAAGTTGGTGTCTATGTAACAGAGAAAACGGTTAGAGATCGGAGATTTAAGGCACAGAAGTAATGTTATACGGCATCTAAGTCTATTAAAAAGCAGAGAACTGTTCTTTAACTGTTCTTTAACCTTATGATGAATTAGAAACTCAATTAAAACAATGGAGTCATGAACTTAAAGGAAATGGAAAGTGACAAATGCCAAAATTTGTTTGAGAGCACTTCAACTGTCCAAGAAATTTGCCATACTGAATTCAAGGTATCTAAACTGTGGTGTGCTCCTGACATTGTGGCAATGTACTCAGATCACACAAAAACTGCCAAAAGATGTGGATACTAAGGTGACTTATTTCCAGAAATTTGTCATAGATCTACAAAAGAGAAACAAGTTTAAACAACGATATATTGGAAATATCGACAAATCACCATTGTGGATTTTAAGGGGGCCAGTTGAGTGTCTGTGAAGACATCAGTGGCAAAAAAGTCTCATTCTATAGCAGTGCTATCCTGTTTAGCAGATGATACCAAAGGAGAGCTTGCTATTGTGTTCAAACAGTAACTATACATAATGCTTAAAAAAACAGTTACCAAGAGATGTTGTAGTGTACATTTAAGAAAAGGGATTGGCTGATGAAAGTGTCTTAATGAAATGGTTGAATGATGTGTGGTTCAAACAGCCTGGTGCATTTCATAATAAAAAGTCATTACTCATGTACTAATTTGAGATATATTCCATGCACTTTTGTTGGATAGTATTAAAAAAAACCTGAAGCAACAAAACAGTCAAGTGATCTTTATATGGAGGTAACTTAGCTCTGTTTAATCAATGACGGTTTGTTGAAATGTAGTCTTTATTATAAGGGTGATCTTCATTTGGAGGCAGTTTTTAACATAGGTTTGACTGAACTACATTCAAATTTTTTCTATTTTCTTTACAATAATGGTGGAGACTAAAGTCATAAATTAGTAGTTAAAGAGAACTTTGCATAATAATCTGTTGTATGGTTTCAGAATCCAGACAAGGCAGTATTGTCAAGTGATACGTGTACTGATGAGGAGCATGAAAAAGGTAGGACAAAGATGAATTGTCTTGTAAAGAATCTTTAAAGGGAGAGGCAGTAATTGTGTTTCTTCATTCTAAACAAACTTTCTTCCATTCTCTCTAGTTAAGATGTACTTAGTGGACATCATGTATTTACATGAAAGTAGATGATTAGTATTGGGGCTTGGTACTGCAGGAAAGAGCATATTGCGGTATTTACCATGGTATATGGCAACTTTTACTTTATGCCAACACAGCAGATGTGCTATAATAAAGGTTCATAAAATTGTGACAAAATCTCAGCAAACTGGCATATTTAATACTGTTTTTTTACAAGACAACTATTTGTTTGGTTGGAATAAAGAGAAATAATATTATAATTGACTAAATCTGTATCTTTATTAGTCAATTTATCGGTATTAAAATAAAATATTGATTGATAATGATTAGATCATAGTTTTAAATTTAAAAATTGTTGTTTATTCATTCTATAAAACATAAGGGGTAAAAAAAAGCATTTTTTTATTTTTGCCTTAAAGAAAGGGGGTGTGGTCATATTTCTTTTTTTTATTTCGGGAAAAAATTTCTTTTCTGGTGTCCATACAATATGTGGCAAAACCCAGACGGAAATTTTGTTGGCCCTCAGACTGTTTTAGGTAAATGCTAAATTTAAAACTTAAAAATTTTGTACTTTTGCCATTTTAAAAAAAGTGAAAATTAAAAACCCATAACTCTTTTTTGCATAATTTTGAAGTGATTGTCCATTGTAATTCTTCATACTTAATTCTTTCCTATTTTTTAGCCAGGACAATGGGAGTTCTAGTTTTCCTAGCTATCATGCAGACAGTAAATTAGTTATAAACCTTTAAATGTTCTATATTTTGTTTGTTTCCAGTGAGTCTGACTCTGACGAAGAAGTAACTATTATACAGAAAAAGCTTTCAGGTAGTGCTCATTGTTGAATAATATAAAAACTTTAAATGGGATTCATTTAATGGTTGAAAAGTGTATAAAATGCATTCTAACTTAAATAATGTGGAAATAATAAACATTTAAGTAAGTGATATTCATAAATTATGTCTAGTATCAAATTTATAAATATTGTTTATAATAAAGAGAACTATACAAATATTGAATTACCTTATATCCAGGGGAGAGAACTGGTGGAAAGAGTGAAAATCACAGCTCTAGTGACGGCAGTAGTCCTGGCAATATGTCAAGGTAAGAAATTCTGATTGTTTACATGATAATGGCCTTCAGGCAATATACAGTCATTCCTGTATGCAAAACCAGTGAAAGTTGTCATTTAGTCTTTTGACAAAATAATCTGAACTGTGATTGATCTAAAGGAAATCTTAGATGCAGTTGTTGAATTATTGGAAGATTTTTGAGTTCTGGTGATTGCATAATCCAAGTTAATGTTCTGCATGCAACTTAATATCATATTAACCAATCAAGGTGTTCACTTTAAACTTCTCAAGTGTATTCAAAGTTATGAATTGTAGGTCACTGACCATTATCCATACTCTATGATTTTGACATAATATGATAATGATAATTTATCTTTGTGAACTATCTATCTAGGTGTTTGTTTTAAATTCGAGCATTGAGTAGTCAAATGTGATGTCTGACAGTGACTGGTTCATATATAAAACACTAAACAAGTACAGTTATATTGATAACATATGTCATGTGCTGCACTAACGATCTTTGAGATATCTGTCCCAATGGCAATAAGGCTTGGGACAATGCCATGCCAGTATTGTAAACCAAATTCACAATCAGCTAGTTATTGTTAGCATCCAGATATTGAAATCAGTGAAGTTAAAAATTAAAGAAACCAATATCAGGACAGGGCAAGGCTATTAGACAATGCTTGCAGGATAAAGATAGTTAATGATCTTGGTATTAAAAAAGAAACATTTTTACTTGCTATCATGTTAAAGTAGTCATAATGCCGTTGACTAATTTCAGTTTTCAGTCTAGAAATCGTTCAAATCTTGGAAGTTATGATCAGTGTGAAGTATACAAGACACAAAAAGGCCATGCTAAAGGTGACAGATTTGATTCGTTTCCAGCTTCACAGGATATGTTTGCAGAAACAGGTTAGACCAGAAATCAGTCTCAGTTTTGTACATGCTTTTGTTATGAAATTTTTGTAATATTGATACATTGAAGGAAATTATTTTTTTATAGAGATTTTATAACATTAACTAACTGATAATGCGAGCAAGTTTTCTTGTCATGCTTGCTAAGTAGTGAATAGATTTGATTTTGTATACATTTCTTGTTGTTGTCCCCGGTCAAAATAGGAAATTTATAAGTATATGACATGTTAAACTTGTATTCTAAAAAATGGATTTTGTCAAGTGGATTGGCCTGAAAGTTGAAAGTTTATTGAAAATTAAAGCAAAACATTCTTTATAATTTTAATTTAGTGTAACATACTAAATAGTGAATGAGGATTATTTTCTGCGTTGAAAACAGATTTTACTGTCAACTGCATTCCATAGTTGAACACAAGTCTTTCATGTTTATTACATTTGTGGTTTTATTTTATTTAGCTGAGCAGGACAGTCCATCTACGCCTTCAGAACACTTGGGCAGTCTTCAGTTCTCTCAGAAACCCATGTTGGTACCTGAAACTGTTGAAGAAACTTTGTAAGTAAATTCTTTAGTTATGAAATGTTGTACATCAGTGTAAAACAATATTAAAAAATATATTGATTCATCTTTTGAATGGAACTGTAAAAATTTGTTCATCGGATACGATTGTGCTAAGATGGAAACTAAGCAGACATTTTTTTTAATAAAAATTTACAAATAAATGAAATAACTTTTAGAGCAGTTTGGCAAACACCAAAATGGTTTATGAGCTTCATTCCATCCATTATCTAAGTTAAAGAAAGAGAAAGAAACCACATAAACAGTCGATCAGTGGTAAATTCCATATAGAATTCAAATAAAAAGTCCATAAACTGAAAATGTTTGAAAATCTAAACATATCAACAATCCAGGACAAATTTTGGTTACTGGCTAAAGTTGTTATTTTAACTTCAGATCACATGCACCACACTGTTGTGTGTGGAATATCGTTGAGGGACTTTGGTTTATTTCATGTTAGGAAACTATCAAGGGAATACTGGAAGCTCTACTTGGCTGCCCTCACATGTTTGAAATCATGTATGAAGCCCTTGTTTGGACATTTCTACCAATAAAGCTGGGGCCACTATATGACCTTTAACAGTGAAACCCCAAAACAAAAAAATTTAAATTAGTTAAAAGGGATTTTATGAAAAAATCAAGTTTTTCTTTTATTCCCTAAAACAAATTTTGGGGGTATATATGGGATCACTTGTCTTTCCCAGCCCAAGTCTCCCCGGTTTTTGGTTCCCCTTTTCATTTTTTTTCGGGTTTAAAAAAACTAAAGTTTGGAATCCCTTATTGAAATTTCATCTTTGTATATAAATCCTTTTTGGGGAAAACCCCGGTTTTTGGTATTTTTTTTTGGCCCCCCAGGGGTCAAGGTCACTTTTCCCTAAAAATAAAAAAAGTCTTATGTTTTTATTTAGTAAAATTTTCATTTCAATCTTTAAATGTTTTGCTAAAATTTGGGGTTAGAAAAAGGGGGTTGCTCCCAAACCACTCTAAGATGTTTTAATTGTTTAAAACCCGTTTTAGATGAATTAAATTTTTACCATTTTGTTAACTTTTTCATGTTTGCAGAAACGAGATTCCTCCATCCCCAGGTGTGTATGGTTCCACTCCTATCATAATACCAAATTCACCTACACAAGAAACTGGGAATCAGAGCTTTCTCCTGGAAACAGGGGACCAAGATAAGGAGGAAGCTGGGAGCCAACATAAGGAAAGTTCAGATGAAGGGAACCAGACTGTTTTTGATATAAATGCTGCAGAAACCTTGGCAAGTCAACCTCAGGTAAGTACATTATAATAATGAGTACAAGGAAGGTCAAGAAAATGGAAAGGGGGGGGGGGGGGGAAATGTCCCAGCTTTCCTGTGTCTGGAAGTATCAAACAATATTGTAACAAACAAGCCTCTATGTAAAATATCTACCAAATATGGTTCAAAACATGGTCATTTCTAATAATAAGGATTATAATTTTGCAAAGTGCTTTTCAAATTGTAGGAAAAGGTATTTTCATTGAAAATCTTTAACTAGATTTTTTTTTTTCCAATTTTTAATTAATAAAAAAAAATATACATGTTATACAGAATTTCTGTAAAAAGAGACATGGCTTTTGAAAATAATAAATGAATATATACGAGGGGTGTCCCAGAATTACGTGGACTTTTGCTATAACTTTTTTATTTTTTAATACATTTTTTAGCAAATTTGTACACAATACCTTTAACATATCCTTAATGAATATGTCCATTATTTTTAAATTTCTAACATTGCTTATCTATATTTTACGTCGCTATAGTAACGCAGTATGCGCAGGGCGGGGCAGTCCAATATTTTGTATTAATAAGTTGGTTTTACTTTCGTATATCTTGCGTATTTATACGTAAAAAATGGCGCGACGTCGTAAGCATATGCAGTGACGTCATATGAACGTTCGTTTGAAATTTTGACGTCATAGCTGTTTCCGTTATTGTTTACCAGCGGACAACTGACAACCGTTGCTCTTGGATATTTAACAAAAAATGACGTCCACGGATTACGCGAAACATCGGACTATCATCAAGTTTTGTGTTAATCTTGGGAAGACACCAACACAGACGCAGGAAATGTTGGAGACTACAAAAGTGAGACCCCTGTTTGTCGATCACTCGTTTTCAAGTGGCATAAGCGCTTTCGAGACGGCCGAGAGGACATTGAAGACGACAAGGGTCGTGGGAGAAAGTCAACGTTGACTGCGACGTCAATTAAGGAAGTTAAGGACGTCATAGATCGGGACAGGCGTTACACCAAGGTCAATGCTGAGTACTATTCAAGGGTAAGCAAAAATTTTGTGTTTAAAAAAATGATTTTTAAAAATTAAGCTAATCACAATTTATTATTTTAAACGCAATTTATCCGCTTCAGCTTTTAAGAAAGTGAACTCAAACTGCTATAGTAAGCAGTGCGCATGATAGGTTATTTCCCTTGTTAACGCACATTGTCTTTGCGTACAAAATAAACTCCACAATAATAATAATAATAATAAAAATAAGAATAATAATAATATTAATTATATTAATAATAATAAAAATAATAATGATAAATAATAATAATAATAATAATACCGCGTCAGCATTATCACCGTCGTCTTTAACACTATTATCGTAACAAAAGTTAATAATATGCTTTATTATTATTATACAGGGCGGTGTACGACCAGTAGATATATCGACACCATAGGTGTATTGAGTTAGGCGGCGACTATGTTGAGAAAAACTGACACACGTTTATTAACAACTAGCGACGCCACCGGAATGACGTTGTAACGTCTGAATGGACTGCCCCGCACCCGCTACCCCTTGTCTCATTACCCTGCTCACAGACACTGATCCAGTTGCCGGACAACTTTGAATTTTTTTGTAGTTATGCAATAAAGTTGCGTTTTGTTCATGTTAATTTTGTTTGTTTTTATTTTCAGTAGTTTTTGAGTTACAACAAAAGTCCACGTAATTCTGGGACACCCCTCGTATTTTGTGTATGTTTCATTTGGTTTATTACAGGTTGACAGTTTTCTTGAAGCAGCAAAGGAAAGTAGCCAGAAAGAATATCAAAGTTCACAGGTAATGATACATATTTCCAGCGCAAGACTGATTAAAGTTTTGTAAAACTAATGTGTCATACAAGGACCATACAAAAATAAATCTGTAGTGCTTGGATGTCAGGTTTCTGTAATTTAGGCAATATTGTTAATGGAGGTTTAGAAGCATTCAGTAAACAATGTTAACATATATGTTACCTAGTAGTGAACACGTACTTGAGTTACTAGAAGTACAACCTTTAATAACTGCATATGGAAATCTATTCTTAGGCTATATGATCTAGATCATGTTTTGTTTGTTTTTGAGCGGCATGAATTAAATTTGATTTAAGAGTATTAAAGAGTCATGTTTATTTATTTTTAACTGAAAGAGCACTACATGCATAACCATGACATTCTTTTGAAGGATTTGGGTGTATGTTTCATTATGGATTAAAGTTTACATGCCATAACTGATTTGGGTGAACATGTCATTACAGTTGGGTGTACTTCTCATAATGGATTTTTGTGTACATGTATATTTCAGGGTAAAGTTAAAAGTTTAGAGGAGGATGAAAGACAAAAAGATAATTTGTCATCAGAATCTGTTCAGATAAATTTCTCCCAAGGCACACTAAACGTGCCAGACAAGGTAATGTCATTGTAAGATGTATGAAATAATGTGTCTTCTATTACACAAATTGTACTTTAGATTTTCTTAGTTAAGATTCTAAACCTTTTCTTATTAAAATATAGGTAATGTTGTTGTTTTTTCCACAAATTTTATTTAGAATGTCATTGAAAGGAATGGTAGGCAGTTTTACATCTGTGTTCTTCATCAACATTAAATGGTTTATGTATTTTAAATAGAAGATTTTTGGTTATCAACAGATAGTTATTTTATTAAAGTGTTCTATATTTCAGGGAAGCAGTAGAAAAGTTCTCAGGGTGCGATCAGTCCAGCAAGAAAGAGGGGGTTTACGTCCACTTATCTCCTCCCAGAAGTTACAAGCTCCGGAGAATTCTAACAGTGAACGAGAAGTCATTATTATACCCAGTGGGTCTGCTTCTATAAATTCACAGAAAGAAGGTCTGTTTGTGTATTGATATAAATTTAGTCTAAAATGTAATAAAAAATATTTAAAAGGAGCCTTACTAATAATGATTGTCTAAACACTGCTACCTTCCATTCAGCAAGATGTTATATTTTAATTCATTTGATGAGTCTTAAATGTACCCTTCCTTAACTATGAAGATCTATGACTTTCTAATTAAAAATGATATATCCTATACATGGATGCCTTTAAGAATGTAAAGTCAGTAGGTGATGTCATTTTAAAATATGGCAAGTTATTTGTGGCTTTATAATATTTTGTAATAAAAAGATTTTATATCTGTCACTTGTCCTAGGGATGTTAATAAGTTCACCACTGTCTAAGTTTCCTAGGTTTGTATGATATAGGTCTCAATAAATAACAACTGAAAGAAAAACCTATCTGTTTCTAGAATTTTGTTGTACATCAGTGATCAGTATTCATAGAGACTTTTTGTCAAAATGTTTTTCAGTTGAAGGGTCTGATAATTTGATGTTACGTCTGACACAATCAGAATGTACAATGGAAAACAGTCAGTCCCAGAAAAATAAGGTATCTGGATCAAGGTCACAAATGGTAGAACACAAGAAACAGGGATCACAGGAATCCAGATCACAAGACAAAGGTCAAAGAGAAGGGTCACAGAGTTCAAGGTCTCGTCATCAAAGTTCAGGAAGTGGGTCAGGGTCACAAAAGAAGAAGAAATCCGCAAGAGATAAACATATTGAACATCTAAATGATAATCCATTGATAGAGTGGAAGAATGAAAGTGATACAGGTAAAAAATACTGTATTATATATCGACTGTTTTAATTAGAAGATAATCATCTGAAACTTCACACATCTATCTGGGATCATAATTAAGGATTACAGTTGAACACAAATAACTAGCATGGTTTTGGACTTAGTTATAGACCTTTGTAAGCTTAGAAAATTATTACTTTGTATGGATTTTAAATATAATCTTCTCTTTTGAGGATTCCTACATCATCCAGGCCCGTGAACTAAGTTAAAACTGAGACTAGATGAGTTTGTTCTCCTACTGACACCTCTTGTTGAGTTTAGCAAGCAATCCATTCTCTTCAAACATAATAGCTATAAACAGTAACATGCGTATTGAATGGCATTACTTTACATGGTTCTGGTGTGACTAAAATACTGATGAATTTGTTTAAATGCTAGGAAGAATTGTCCAAAGAAGAAAAAACCCTCAAAATTTGATTGAAGTATTAGCTGTATGTAATTAAGTGAATGTTTAAGATGTTTATATTTCAGAAAGGAAACAAGAAATGAGTGTGAAGTCAAGCAACAGATTTTCAGGTCTGCTTCTATATTTTGAAACAAAATTTCATATTTATACATTGTATATGTCATTTTTCACTTCATTTGTAACAGAAAGGAATAAATTTGGGTTATACTCTATATGCTCCTCAAAAGGAAACATTAAGTCGCTAGTCCAAGCAAATTTTTCTGCAACCACTGATGGGAACTCATGAGAACTTAAAAATATAAAAGATTTTATATCATTGCCGTTATATGTTTTGATGAAAAATGATGCTGTTTTTACTACAGTAATTGCTTTAGTCTTAACATATGTGATGTTTATTCAGTATATTTAACAGCTGATTCTAGACATGATCGGGGATATTAAACTTGATGTTTTTCACTTTAATTTCTAACAGATGAGTTTCACCTTGATGTACCTGTTGTGATGTCATCTAAAGAACCAGAGGTTGCCATGGTTACAGATAAACCTTCTCTTGCCATAGAAACAGAGAAACCAGTGTCACAAGTCATAGCTTCAAATACTCAACCACAAGCAGCACAGAAAACGTACATATACTTTATTATGCTCAATCATGAATGTTAAATTAATCAGAATAATTTTGTTGCTCCTTTACTTTAATACTAGTATTATACTTTGTACTATCTTTATACATAAACATTTAGAAGCTTCAAATACATGTATGTGTTTTCTTCATGGATACTTTGTGAATTATCTCTTGATTCAAGAAAAGTAAATAATTGTATATACATGTAAATATGTATGTGTGTTTTGAAAAGATTTTGAAGTACATTGTTTAAAGTAAAGGTAAACTTTTTTGCAGGGAAAAACTTGTAAACAGTGAAGACTTGGTAGCTATGTCAACTGGAGAACCAGACAAACTGTCTATTGGTATGATACAGTCACAGTCTGAGCAAACGGAACCTGTCTTCAAATTACAAAGTAAGTTACCTTACATAAGTTTGTTGTACGTTTGTTCTAAACTAACTGTATAGCTTAATTTCATCATGATTATTTCAGGTGAGCTATGAAAGCTTACAACTTATTTTCACCACTTCAGGATCTGTTATCTTTGTGCCAACTAGTTTTGTGTCATATGAGGAAAGATGCTTGTGACCCATGCAGAGCTCAAACCTACAATCCCTGGGTTGAGAGACAGCCACCATGCCATCTTTTACTCATTAAGACTGCTTCTTTACATATGAAATTTGTTATCTAGTTTAGAATCTGAAACCACAGTCATAAGGGCAAATAGTTAACTGTTCCGCTATTGATAGATATGAGGCTCTTGTTAGAGAAGGTTTTGTGAGAAAATATCATCATTGTTGACTAAAACCTAAATTTATTTTTCATAATCACACACTTTATATTGAAATAGTCTGCACAAGTTGAACAGTTTTGAAAGCAGATATGTACAATTAAACATATTCAGGCGCTCTCATTAATTAAATATTTGCTATCAAATTTGAAATTGTTTAGTCATAATGATGTTTCAATACGAGTTGTAGCTGGCATTTTCAACCAGAGCTTGCCTACTGTTTTCTGGTTGTTTGGTTATTATGTTAAGCTGGTAACCATTTCAATGGAATGACTTAGGAATTTATTTTAGGAAATAGATACAAAGTTTGGATGTGTTGTTGTAGAATAATACAGAGGTTGAGTTCAAATATTAAACAGAAATAAAATCATGAGTGCTGGTAGACTTGAGCGATCAATTACAATTGTATTTGAACCTACATATACTACAACACATGGAAAGTTAATATCTTTTCATGTTAAGTTGTTAACATACTTAAAACAAAGAGACTTGATAAAAATATGTTTAAATACATTGAGAGGAGAAGTGATTTTCCTGATATCAGCTAGTTCATTGACATCAAATCTGACATCATGGATGTGTAAGCATTTCTTATTTAGGCTGTACATGTATCATGTAATAATGAACTTGGCTGCCCTGTCTGTTAAATAGGGGAATAATGTGAAGTATGTTAAAATATAACAATAAAACATTTAAAGTCATCATATAATTTTTGAAAACAAAAAAATACTAACATTAAGAAATAATTAATGACAAAAATTTTATAAACATAATATATAAAAATGTGATATACATGTATACTAAAGAATTTGTTTTGTTTTAGAGCCCCAGATAGAGGAGTTAAATATACTTGATGAAAGTGAAGATGTGTTTCCCAGGAGGACTGGTAAACCAAAAGGCCATTCAAGATATATCCTTGAAGATAGGTAAGTTTTATGAAATCTTTTACTTGTGTTTACCTGAAATTAGTCGGTTTAATCTGTCTTGGATTTATGTACACAGCTTGTTATGTTCTTCACCATTTTGGTTGAAGAAACTACATGTCCTATCTTATGCTGTTCATTCTAAACTACTGATTCAAGTGAAACAGTTGTTATTAGTCTGGGCAAAAGAGATAGCATTAGAGCAGAAGCTTAGCTCAAATAATTTTTCGTTTACTTTAATACTTATACATTCTTGTCCTTAATCATTTAAATAACCAATTAGGTTTTTGCAGCTCTTTTATTAAATCTCAAAGGGTAGTCTTTTGTGATTAAATTCTCTTTGCACAGAAGGGCCACCTTAGGTCTTCCTCCACCAGTAAAGCTTGAAAGTTGCCATATGACCTCTTCTGAGTTGGTTTGCGTTGCTGCGGTGTAAGACCTACAAAACAAAAATAAGTAAACTCTTCATGTTTTATCGTAATGTTTACAGTGACGAGGAGTTTTGTGACCATCCTACAACAGGAGATACAGTGAAGCTGACTAAAACAACTGATAGTTGTACAGGAATGGAAAAAGATGAACCTCTGGTGGCAACAAAACTTGACATGTATATGGTAATTTATTTTTTTGAGACATATATAGAAAGTGTAAGTTTCAATTCAGAATTTTTCTGAGATGCACATTTTTAGCTTCATTTATCATCAAAAAATATATATTCACTAAAGCAATACAAAACCACACCTTTTGTCAAAGTTTTTAGCTCGACTATACGAAGTATATGGAGAGCTGTCCTACTCGCCCCGGCGTCCGCGTCCAGATTTTAGATTAAAGTTTTGGTGCAGTAAAATATTTTTCACTATAACTTTGTCATTTCTTAAGGTATGTATCAACTTCAAACTTCAAATATATGTTCCTTATCATCAACCACATCTTATGTGACAAGGTTCATAACTCTAGCACCAATATTTTCAGATTTATCTCCCCTTTAACTTAGAATTTTCCTTAAAAAATACTATTTTTTACTGTTACTTCTTTATTTCTTAAGGGATCAACCTCATACTTCAAATATATGTACCTTATTATCATCCCCATCTTATGTGACAAGGTTCATAACTCTAGCACCAATATTTTTAGATTTATCTCCCTTTGAACTTGAAAAATATTTTTTTTACTGTTACTTATTTATTTCTAAAGGGATCAACTTCATACTTCAAATATATTTACGTTATCATCATCCACATCTTATGTGACAAGGTTCATAACTCTAGCACCAATATTGCAAGAATTATCTCCCCATAAACTTAGATTTTTTTACTAAAAAAATGTTATTTTTTTATTATAACTTTAATATTTTTAAAGGTATCTACCTCAAACTTCAAATACTTATTCCTAATCATCAAATACAGTTTATGTGACAATGTTCATAACTCTTGAAGCAATATTTACAGATTTATCTCTCTTTGAACTTAGGATTTTCTTTAAGAAATATAAAAACTTCTTTACTTTTTAATGTATCTACTCAAACTTCAAATATATATTTCTTATCATTACACAAATGTTGTGTGACAAGGTCCATAACTCTAGCATGACTATTTCTAGAATTATTCCCTTGATCTTGGAATTAATGTTAACAAATGTTATTTTTTTACTATAACTTAATACATAATTATACATAATTGATTTTTCTTTCATAGTTTTGTCCTCCTTACTGCGTCCAGTATTTTATTAGTCGAGCTTCGCTGTCTCCTGTGACAGCTCTTGTTTATTACTAAAATGTTTTGTATCAGTTTTGAATCTCGTGAAAATGACAATGGAATGCAGTTGCCTTGTTTAGAATTGAAACAGCCTATTCAAATTTTTATTGATTTTAATATAAAAATACAATAATTGAGCTAATGCAATATAGTGCCTAGTCAGACATAACAGATGTGCAGGCTAACCCAGATCTATACTTCTGGTGGCAAAGGGCAATCATTCTTGGTTTCCAGCAGGGTTATGGGTTAAGTAATCTGGTTATAGAATTCTTGTTACAACATACAGTTTTTGTTTTTTAGCTCAACTATTTTAAGAATAAAGAGAGCTATTGTACTCACACTTTGGTTAAGTTTTTGCGTGCAAGTTGGTATCTCCAAGACTACTGAATGGAATGGGTGTAAACTTCACATACTTGTTCTCTTTGATAATTTTACATGATGGGCACAGGTCCCATAACTCTTGTTAACTTACAGATCTATGTAAAGCAATGAGAATAGTCTAGGATGCTGTCTAATGGACAGCTCAGTGTTTACAGTTTTATGTTAATTGCCTAACTTGTTATTCAATCGCTACACTGAGATAATACATAGTCACTGGTTGACCTGGTTTGCACAAAAGAACACATAGTTATGTTTGTGATACTGTTTGTGAGCAGTTGACCTAGCAATGAATGGAAAAGGTGTGGCTAAATGTTCCGCTACAAAAAACTGGAAAGGTCCATTGTCTGCATTTATGTCTTTAGACTGTGATGGGCAATGTTTATTCATTTTAATGTTTAATTTTATCATTAGAACTTATCCAGTATATGATATTTCAGGGACATGATGATGGTAATGAAGATACCCAGTCTTATCAAGCAAATATTGACTTACAGACAGATGTGAATGGTAATAATGAACAAAAACAAAGTAAGACCCATGACACCGGTTCTGTAGTGTCTGGTAATAATCAAGGTTCATCTAGAATGAGGAGACTAACAGAAAGTTCTACACAGACTGCTGATAGCAAGGTGGAAACTTTTGAAAATGTGGATATAAATGTAGTACAAAAAGTTGCTGATTATTTACAATCAGGCCTTCACTCTAGAAGTAGGTCAAACAGCACGTGCACAGATCTCTCTGACTTTCATGGTGATGGGTCTGATAAAGGAGATAATGTGATGAAAACACCTCAACGGAAAGACAGGTTGGATAAGATAAAAACTCCAACTTCACTGTCCAGAAGAGAAAGTGCCGACCAAAGAAGTCCCAAAAGTCCATCTGAAATACAAACTATTATACGGACATATTCGGATATCCTGAAGAAACAAAAGCATAAGCCTAAGAAAGATGATAAACTGTTACCCAGCTCGCAGAAACCTAACCCTATAGCAAGTGAGGAAACTGGTAAAGTCAGTCTGGTTCCCAGGAGACTAAGCTCACAATCTTTACCTGAGGACTTAATTAGAGGTAAACAAGGGAGCAGGACACCAAATAGTAGTGCCTTTGATCCCTGGATGACTGCAAGAAAACCCCAGTCTCAATTAACAGTTGAGAGTGATACAAAGTCAGATAAAATTAGTGACATGAATAGCCAGAGAGATAATTCAAACCACAGTGAAACAGGTGTCACACAAGACTTAAGTAAATCATTTAAGCCACATAAAGAAGTAGATAATGTCTCATATCATAGTGAACCTATTGTGATATCACAAGATAGTGATGTAATATTGGAGACTGAATTAGCTTTAGCAAAGTCAGAAAAGAGAAATAATAGATCAGACCTCACAAAAAAAAGTTCTTTAAAACTGAATTTGAATAAAGAAGAAAAAAAATCAGATGAACAGTGTAGTGATATAAGGGAAAAATCTGCTTCAGAGATGTTACATCTAACTCCAGACACGCGTAAGAATGGTAGTACTAAAAATTCTCCGCCTTTCCTTACATTAGAAAGGGTGGATTCACCAAAAAAGATCTCTGAAAAATCCAATTTACTGTGCATCGATATTCCTGTGGGAACTGAAAATAAAGATTTTATGCACAATGAAGATAACGATATGTCGAAACTAGGTAATCAAAATGTGCTTAGTTTAAAACCAAAAGATACCCTGATTATCAAAGGTGCTGTAAATGAACAAAGTGATTCACATGAGACTTCTGAAACAAGAAAAAATACAAGAAAGATTGATCAAAACCCTTCTACTAGTGTTGCTACCCTTCAAAGAGATGATACACAAGTATTGAGAGAAACCAGGCAGTCTAAAAAACCATATTATGCAAGATCTTTGAGAAACAAGAGAAAAGTGAAAAGACGATTATCTGCCGAGAAACGGAATATCTCACGACGTAGGACCTCCAGTCTCAGTCCGACCTTATTGTCAGGTAGTAGCCCTCCACTTGTGTCTTCCAGGGTCAGTCAACAGACTATATCTGACACATTTGTGGCATCAACACAGAAATTCTCACCTAGTAATAATAATAAAGATGATATTTATGGATTTCATGGTACCGAGTCACAGCCATCTCCAGAAAAAGTAGGTCATGATTTTTAAGATTTTATTATTTAACATTTAATGTTTACAGAAATAATTTAATATTACGTTTCCTTCTTCAAACACAGGGAAATTTGAATTTTGTCAAAAATAATGTTTCAGAGGTAAGTTTTAATTAAATATGAAAACACACACAAAAATTCACATGTGTGTAAAATGTTTGGCAAAGAAAGTCATACTTAGTTATGTAACTTCTAAAATGGAAGACAGTTTTTCGACTTTAAACACAATTAAAGGGCCAAAAACATTAAATTTTTAAAATTCTTTTTAACTTATCTCTTGCAATTTTCTTACAGGAGGCTGACTGAAGCAAAATTGAATTTAATTGTAACATACTAGAGAAAAGTTAGTGATATATTTTTGAAGTGATAATTTATTTAAGGTTATTATACAGGCAACTACTCCAGGGAAAACGCCTCTGTCAACCAGGAAAAGAACTAGAACTCAACATAAAAAGTCTGGCTTAAAGAAACAACGCCATGAAATAGGTAAGCTCATGAATGTTACATCATTGTAAATATACGATGAGAAATTAAAAAAAAATCATTATCTGTGGTACGGTAATGTAAAAAGTTTTAGTTCAGCAATCAACCTTGGTCAGGAAATCTACTGTTACAGAGTGACAACATTTTTTATGCCTGAAATGTCTCTAAACTTTTAAACAGCAGGTTGCTGAACCCTCTTGATGGTTTACGTTCTACCTTTTCTATTGTATATTAAACTTGGTAAGAATTCCATATCATCTAATTTTAGACTTGTTCAATACATATACCTTCATATTTCAGACTGGTTTGTTATATTTTATCTCTTTCTTTTATCAGATGATACTGAGACCAGCTCAGAGAACAAACATCATGTAACATTTGAAACCAGTCATAGAATATCCAGCCAAGGCAGTGATACAACAGTGACTACGATTGGTTCATTACAATCAATTCCATCCTCCATTAGCCAATCAAGTCCAAAGAGAGATACAATAGTATCACCAAGTAGTAGTAGCTCTAGTAGACAGAGTGTTTCTGAGGGAACCACTACTAGAATGTCAGGGAAACGAATGTCAATAGATCAGGTAATATTGAAAAACGTTTTAGAAAATTGCACCATTTGTACAAACAGCCTTATGTAGATGTTCAACCAAAAATCTAATATTGTAACTATATTAGATAAGTCTGATAAAGAATTTAAACATTTATTTGAATTTCAGTGATTGACTATGAGTTATTAATAATGAAACTTTTATAAACTTTATTTTTTATACTTGGGTGTAAGCATGCACTTTAAGCTGATAGATAAACTAATATCCTGTTTCAAGTGAAATGCCAAAGTAACCTAATCATGTATACTTTATTTTTGACAAATAAAATCTCAGTTTTATAACATATTTTGCTGTACATGTAACTGTTTTTTTAGTATTCTTATCAAGCTCATATGTGATATATTTTTTCTTGTCTCCAATAATGTTAATTGTGTATGTCAGTACATTGCTGAATTAATTAAACTATTAAACTGTAATATATTTTCCATCCTGTGTGCTGAAATATAAACATTTGTGATAATGAGACACATGAATTTCAGGCATTACCAGATACATTACCTCTAACACATAGTGAGGAGGATAATTATCAGAAAGTCACTGTAGTGATAGAGAAAGTGGAACGTGTTTACAGGGAGATAACTACAACTAGGAAAGTTATAGGTGCACAGGGGCAAGTTCTAGAAAATACACAAGATGTGGTTAGTATGTTTTTATACCATCATTAGAAAGAAGATTTCATGTAAGAAAATTCTCTTTTATCCTATGACATAGCTTGTTTTCAATGTGATATTATCATGAAATAAATATATTTTTCAAGAGCAATTCAAGTTTATTTCATACAAACTTGTCACAGGTTCATTTTATTCTGTTCCTCCAGACTTGTTTGAAATAAATTTTTGACTATGAGAATATATATATAACACTATCCCTAGATTATATCTCTAGTGTATATTTTATACATCACTGGAATGTATCAGTTCAAAACTTAGAAAAGCTGTTTAGATATAAAAATTGTGTGCATCATATGGGGAAAATGGGAGTGTAAGAATTGACTACAGTGTTAATTAACAATGAATACAGTCAGCTATTGTTATCTCGACATCGTTTTTCTCGATATTTCATTATCTCGATAGATTTTTAAAAGTCCCCATTTTCTTCCTTTTTTATCTATATTGGAAATATTTGTTTATCTCGATATTTTTATTTCGATATTTTCAGTATCTCCATGTAAAATTTCTGCCCTAACAGTTATTTTCCTATTATTATCCTTTGTTTATCTCGACTAATAGTTTTATTTGTCTGTTCCCTTCAGACGTGTGAAAAATACAAACCAGACGACAATTGCTCAATAGCGCGTGTCATAATGATGATTATGTTTGTAACAAATTGAGCTGTTATTATAAAAATTAATCTAATTAGCGTGTTGATTGATTTATGTCCAAAATGAGTGAACTTTACGTTCTTTATAAATATTCGAACACTGTATTAATTATTATGACCTTAAATGTAAATGAAATAATAAAAGTATAGAAACGCTATTGTTGCAATATTGTTTCACAACACCACCAAATCAATCAGCGGTTGAACAATCTCGAGAAAGACCCGATAACTAACCCGGGAGAATATCCGGATCAACCACCCTGAAAACAATGTTTTCACTATATTGGTGTATTACTGAGTAAACCTCACTATGTGTTTTTATCACAGAAACCCGTATTTTGCTGGTAAACATCCGCTAATGTTAATTTGTTAAATATTGAATAGGCTTATGAAAACAAGACATGGGGATATCATAGTATATTTGACATAAGGTATGGATATGTCTTTTGTAAAAAACAGTTTCAGCCTTATTCAAACCCTAATATGTTTATCTCGACATTTCGTTATCTCGATATTTTAAGGACGGTCCCGATGACTTTGAGATAACGAGAGACGACTGTATTCAGTCTTTCACTCTTATATGATTTAGTAATGATAATATTACTGTTTGATTTCATAAAACCAAAATTACATTGTTTGGGATGAAACTAGACTTTATGAATAAGCTAAAAATTTCATCTAAAAATGGTATCAAATTTTTCTTATGTAGTATTTAATCTTTACAGAAACGTCTTGATCCTGTCATTGTTGAAGAGAACACTCACAAAAAAATTCAGTATGTATATATACCGTCACCTTCAAGAAGTGTGACCTCAATGACCTCTGGTGACCTTGCTGATGTCAGCTCCTCTCTCTCAAGGTCAAGTGTATCTAGCGGTAGTTTGGGGTCAAAGGTTGGATCATTGTCCTCCAGTCTTGAGAATAGACTTCCTGGTGTTGGCAAGCACCTAGAGACACAGACTAGTCTGGATCAATCACATCCTGATCATATTCACCTGGAAGCTAAATCATCTGAGTCATTAGAAGCTGTTTCTGAAAAGTCTCACACTTCTGAAGTAATGGCAGGTAAGATAACTATAATGTTAGGAATGCTTATTACTATAATGTTTTAAATGATGGATAATTAATATTAATTGAGGAGCTATTTCATTCTTTACATAAAGTTATGCTCACAAATTTTATAAATTCTTCCTCATTGTAAAAAAACTCTAAATATGTAATGGCGCAAGAGAAATTTTAATTGACGCTAGGTATGTAAGGTCATTTTTCATGCAGTTCTAAATGTCACAATGTGAGAGGAATTTGCGGTCAAAGTTTGAAACATATTTGTATTAATGTTCTGATGTTCAACAATCTTGCCCGATGGTTGCCAAAATCCAAACATTTAGTGGGAATTTCTATTTCATGTTTTTAGCTCACCTGTCACAAAGTGACAGGATGAGCTTTTGTGATCGCTTTTAGTCCGGCCGTTGTCCGTCCGTCCGTCTGTCGTCCGTCCGTAAACTTTTACTTTAAATGACATCTCCTCATAAACCACTAAGCCATTTTCATCCAAACTTCACAGGAATGTTCCTTTGGTGGTCACCTTTAAAAATTGTTCAAAGAATTTAATTCCATGCAGAACTCTGGTTGCCATGGCAACCGAAAGAAAAAACTTTAAATATCTTCTTTTTAAAAACCCAAAGAGCTAGAGCTTAGATATTTGGCTTGAAACATCTTCTAGTGAGTGTCTACTAAGATTGTTCAAATAAAAGCCCTGGGGTCAAAATTGGCCCCGCCCCAGGGGGTCATTGATTTTCCCTATATGCATATACAGTAGAACTTCGGTAAGTCGAAGTTGAAGGGACTTGGGTAAAAACTTCGCATATCGGGACTTCGACTCATGAATCGCTCTCAATTCCATGACAAAATTTCGACCCGTGACTAGTGCTAATCATAAGATCTATAACGAAACCTTTTTCATGTTTTTCAATCATTAATCAGATATTTTACATTTAACTATGATAAATATAGCATGTTAGATAACGTTTTTCACGGCTTGTTATTTTGACTACCCGTTGACGTATACAATATAGTTACAAAAGGCGGAACAGTTAGAAAGGGCGATAACTAAACCGGCTTATAGTAAATATTTCGCGTGTTATTCTCACGCAACACCGAGTCATGGATATTTTCAAATGAAAGTAGTTCTTACTGTTTACTTTCAAATACCACTACGGCAATTAAAATAGTAACGATTAAAGCATTTTATCACACATTTTATCGCAAACAAAGGCTGTTTGAACACACGGATGTGTAGTTGACACCTGTCACACAAGTTGATTGGAAATCGTCTTCGCAGCCAGATAAGGTGTGAAAAATGTCTCGAGATCGAAGGTGTCAAAATAATCGAAAGACTTCGACTTATTTGTGGTAAATTGCACTAGATTTACTTTATACGGACCACGAAAAAACTTCGACACATCGAAAAATTCGACACATAAAATCTCGACTCATAAATAGGTTTTTATAAGGAATATATAGGGGAAAAAATCGGGACTTTCATTTTTCTTCGACACATCGAGAAAATCGACTAATCGAAGTTCGACTCATAGAAGTTCTACTGTAGTAAAAACTTAAAAAATCTTCTTTTAAAGAACCCAAAGAGCTAGAGCTAAGATATTTAGCATGAAACATCTTCTAATGAGTGTCTACCAAGTTTGTTCAAATAAAAGCCCTGGGGTCAAAATTGGCCCCGCCCCAGGGGGTCATTGATTTTCCCTATATGCATATAGTAAAAACTTAAAAAATCTTCTTTTAAAGAACTCAAAGAGCTAGAGCTTAGATATTTGGCATGAAACATCTTCTAGTGAGTGTCTACCAAGATTGTTCAAATAAAAGCCCTGGGGTCAAAATTGGCCCCGCCCCAGGGTGTCATTGATTTTCCCTATATGCATATAGTAAAAACTTAAAATATCTTCTTTTAAAGAACCCAAAGAGCTAGAGCTAAAAATATTTAGCATGAAACATCTTCTAATGAGTGTCTACCAAGTTTGTTCAAATAAAAGCCCTGGGGTCAAAATTTGCCCCGCCCCTGGGGTTCATTGATTTTCCCTATATGCATATAGTAAAAATTTAAAAAATCTTATTTTAAAGAACTCATGGAGCTAGAGCTAAGATATTTAGCATGAAACATGTTCTAATGGGTGTCTACCAAGTTTGTTCAAATAAAAGCCCTGGGGTCAAAATTGGCCTGCCCCAGGGGTTATTGATTTTCCTTATATGTGTATATCAAAAACTTAAAAAATCATTTGTGAAAAAACCCAAATAGCGAGGGTTTAGATAATAAGCATGAAACATCTTCTAGTGTGTGTCTACAAAGTTTGTTCAAATTAAAGCCCTGGGGTCAAAATTGGCCCCGCCCTGGGTGTCATTGATTTTCCTGATATGAGTATAGCAAAAACTTAAAATCTTCTTTGAAAAAACCCAAATAGCTAGAGTTTAGATATTAAGCTTGAAACATCTTCTAGTAAGTGTCTACAAATTTTGTTCAAATAAAAGCCCTGGGGTCAAAACTGGCCCCGCCCCAGGGGTGTCATTGTTTTTAACTATATGTGTATAGTAAAAACTTTAAAAAAAAAATTCTTTTAAAAAACCCAATGAGCTAGAGCTTAGATGTTTAGCATGAAACATCTTCTTATGGGTGTCTACCAAGTTTGTTCAAATAAAAGCCCTTGGGTTTAAACTGGCCTATATACAGGTGAGCGACCTCAGGGCCATCATGGCCCTCTTGTTTTATATTAATAAAATCTTAAATTGAAGTAGATCATGTGTTAATGATTACATGTCATTAGAATTTTATCATATTTTTTACAGCTCCATCATCTGTTCCTAGACCAAGGTATCCTAGATCTGTCTCAGCAGATAAAAGTTCCGACAAGCCAAGTTCTGCTGGTAAAATTAGACGACAGTACAGTCTTACCACGGAGAACCAGTCTAACCTGGCTGGTACCCAGCATCATACACCTGACATACAAAATACAAGACAACAAACATCGGGAACCAGTCATGAACCAGTGAACCAGCCTAAACCAGAAACACCTGTAGTTCATTCTGACCAGGAAGTTTCAGGTATAACTAGAAATTTGTTCATAGGACACTGATGTCCGTATATTCTACTGTTAGTCAGTCTACAGACAAACTGCAGCAAAATAAAGGGAAAATACAAATCCCCCTTAGTAGTGGGAGCATAAATGAGCTGTGTCACGACAAAACCAACATAGTGCGTTTGCGACCAGCATGGATCCAGACCAGCCTGTGCATCCGCGCAGTCTGATCAGGATCCATGCTGTTCGCTTACCAACTCTATTACAAGTAGAGAAACTGATAGCGAACAGCATGGATCCTGATAAGACTGCGCGGATGCGCAGGCTGGTCTGGATCCATGCTGGTCGCAAACCCACTATGTTGGTTTTGTCGTGACGCAGCTCAAATTAGTTTCATATGTACTTTTGTTTCCTTTTTAAGATTTTTATTTTAAATCATATTATAAGCAGTTTTAACAAAAAATGTAAAGAATAATTCTGATTTATACATTTTTTTCCAACCCACTTAACTCAATAGGGGAATGATTGGATTTGTAATCAAAGTTCTTTACAAATACCTGCTTTTATATGTCTGTGAAGAATATATGGTCCTGATTTCTATTGCTATAACAGATAGCAACAATTATTGGTGGCCTGTGGCTCTATGAAGTCAGGCCAATCTATACTTTCATGCTATGTGACCAGACGTTTGGCATTTAATCCTTTCCATGCTAAATTGTCTTAAATGGACTTGTCTCTCTTTCAGTCTGGACAAAATCATTTGTCATCTTTTGTGAAAATATTTATTGTCTGAATAGAGAACAGTGCAGGTTATGGTCAGACAGCACGGAAATGCCGGATGATCTTGGTCTGCTCAAGTAGATTCAATCGCTGCTAGCAAAATGAGGGTTAAATCCCTGAAATAAACAAATTCAAAACATGACATGTTCTTGCTAAAACATTGTATCTTCTTGCAGAAAAAAAATTGATTTTTAAACACAGACTTTGTTTTATTTTCAGATGTACAGACACCATTGGGTTCAACTATCAACAAGACAAGTAGTTATTTACACAGTAGAACTAGCAGTGTAGAAAGTCCTAAAGCTTCTGATTCCCTGTTCTCTACAAGTTCTGATGATAATAAGAAATCAACATCCAACCTCCGTATGTTATATATCTATCTGTTATGTTGGTGTTATTTATGCCCCCCACTACTTAAGGGGGGGGAAGGTGTGGGAGGGGGGTATAGCTTTGCCATTGTCTGTTGGACCTCCTGTCTAACTATCATGGGGTAGGGAGGTAATAGATTTGTAAAATGGGGGATAAGGGAGTGGGGGTGTGGGAGGGGATAGAGATTTGCCTTTGTCTATTGGTCTTCCTGTCTTACTGTCAGGCTATACATCTGTAAACTGTGGAATGTGGAAGGATCCCTTTCTTATGGATACATTCTAGTTTTCATATTTTGTTTTTAGTCTTTAAGGATTATTGATTTATGCACTTCATGAAATAAAGTCACTGTACTTCAAAATAGATTTACCATATTAATTCAGACAAGAAATAGCAAAAATAAATCACTATTTTATTGTTTGTTTACAGATAACATTAGATCACAAAAGAAAATAGACGAAGATTCTAGTACAGATAATTCTACCAAACAAAGTAACTCCAGTGATCATGTTAGGTAAGTACAATCAAGTCTTTTTAAATAAAATATTTTTGAATGATTTTTGGATAAATTTTCAGCCTGTGGCACTACATTTCTAATTATCCCAATTTTTCTTTTAAATTAGTATTTTAAAAGGTTTTGAGTACGTGATTGCTTGGAAAATACCAGACATCTGAATTAAAATATCATTAAGTTTTATTATAATTTACCGGTATATTTACAATTTTAGCTCAGAGATTCCAGATCAGGAACAACTTGTAAGTTCATCAAGTACACCTGAAGAATCAGTTGCTATAGTAACCAGTGATGGGAAAATTGGTAAATATATTTGTATATTTCTATGTACAGTAAAAACTGATTACAGTGACCTACGATGGGAGAAAAGAAAAAAGGTCATTATAGACAGGGAGTCACTGTGGACAGTCTCTACATAATTCGGATATATGAACATATCATACCAATATTTTGTTGAAAAGCAGGATAGTACCATACATAGGGTTTAATTATATTTTTTATTGATATTATACATACCAAATATCATTTATAAAAAACAGGACAGTATTAAAATTGCATGTATAATTGGTTAAGATTATAAACTACACCATTACATTAGTATTTAAAAGTTACAAATTGATTAAAAATGTAATTTATATTGATAAATCTGTTTGTAAAAAAAAGTTTAATTTCAATTTTACTAATGAGATGTTAGAGACATTTAATTTTGTTATGGTCGTTGTACGGACTAGACAGGGAGTCGCTACATACAGACCATTTATATAGTAAATACTGTTTGGCACACCTAACTATGGTCACTAAAGACAGAACATCGCTATATACAGGGGGTCACTAAGACAGTCTTTACTGTATTCTATACAAATTATATTTTCTTTTTTTCCTGATTTTTGCTCTGAAACGTCCAAGGTATTTCTGAAAATACACATTTTAACTCAAAAAATTTGTAGTGTAAGTTAGTGTAAAGGCAACTTTTTCAAAAATATGCAACAAACCTTATCATCATAAGATCAGGAGATGAGGTGTAAGAAATTTGCTTGCACACTTATTGCAAGTTGATACTACTCTTTATAAATATGATATAATGGATATAAGGACATCTTGACATGTTTTCTTTTCTCTAAAAAAAGCTTTTAAATTACTATAAACTACATGTATGACCTTGACAAGGTCTACAAATCTAACAATGTAAAATGTTTATAAATTTGGGAAAGATATAATTGGTGTTTTGTTTTTATCCAGGATCAAGAGTAATGGGCAAATGGAAAGATGGTTTCTTTTATCCAGGAACACTTAAGTCAACTGCTGATAGATATACCAAGTAAGACAAAACTTTTTACATTCATTTCACAAGATGTTAGTACTACTTTAGTCTTGTTACAGACCAACTATGACTTATTGCAGTGAAAATAAGTTACTTTGCCAAAAATGTGCATGTAAAAAAAATCATGCATGTTAATTAATCCTTTTGTTTCAATCATTTGTGAAGCAGGGATAGCAATATCAATTGTTCGTATTGCCCAGGTTGTCCCACAGCCTGTACGATAAAGTGGAAATTTTCAAAAATTTACTAAATAAATATCTTACTGACAAGGGAGGTAATGCTAGATAAAAAAAACGGACAAGAAAGTCAAAATCAGATTTTGCTAGCCTGTGAAAAACTCTCTTATTTGATTAAACATGACAATGCGGGAGTTCCTTGTTGTTGCAGTATTCTGCCATACATATTGTAGATATTCTGTACACTTTGATGATGGAAGTAAGCTGTCAGTGAAAGCAGCAGATATTCTACTGGTAGAGAGACTGCCACTAGGTCAGAGTGTGATGGTAGCTACAGATGATGGCGACTTTGTGAGTGGTCTTCTCACCAAAATAGAAGGTGATGTCTACATTGTAGAAACTGATGAGGGAACTTCGAGCAGGTACAAATGCCTTCCTTAATAGTTATATAATAAACTTACTTATACACATTTATGTATTTATATTTATATGTTATTTATTTGTAAAAATGATAAGAATTTAATTTTAAGTACAGTCAAACGTGTATTAAGCGACCGCGCAAGGGAAACACCCAAAACGGTCGCTTAATGAAACGGTCTCTTAAGACAGTCAGCATGATATAAAAGTCAAAATTTATAAATGACATCTTTCTTATGCGGTGGGAATGTTTTTCAACTTCATTTTTATATAAATGTTGAATAATTAGTACGCTCCGATAATCTAAATGGATGCAAATGTAAAAAATAACTTTCTGATATTTATTGACAAAACAGTTTTGATCCATTACGTACATGTTTGACATTTTTTCCAGAATTTTTTAACTTCTCCGTTGTTTTTCCTTGTCTCCAACACGAAAACCCTATTAGTGAAGATGTTTTCTGTTGTGCATTTTTCCATTTGAAATAAACAAACTACATCTAATTGTTACGATTAATTTAATTGCTGATCAAGTTCAAGGTCAATTCAATGCAGTCTAAATGTCAACAAGCGAAGCGTATACACCATCTCAGTAGGGGCGGAGCTTTGCATTGTTTATCCGATATTATTGGATAATACACGTCACGCGTATACTTAACTTCATTTGCATACGCTAAAACGGTTTGGGAAATAGAGTTTTTCACACGTTTATTTGTTGTGTTTTGATTGTTGACACTTGTGACATTACGAGGTGGCGTTCTCTAAAAACACAATTACTTGACAGGTAAAAGTGGTCGTTTAATGAAAAGATTGATCTCAATCAGGTGACTAATTAGCGGTCGCTGGTCGCGTTGAGCAAAAGTCGCTTAATACATTAAAGATATAGAGAGAAAATGATCGGGGGGAATTTGAAGTGGTTTTTTTTAAGACAAAAGTCGCTTAATACACGTGGTCGCATGGGCAAGTTAGACTGTATTGCCAAATGAATTTTATTCACAGAGCATTTAATATCTTTTCATTGTTGTAATTTTTCAAACAACTTCTTTCATTCCATTGATATTACATTATGTTTAGTTCTTTTCCATGTATATAAGCTTAATGTATAATGCATTTCGTATAGAAAAATATTTTAATGTTACAAAATTCAACATATTTAAGGTCAATGTTACCATTGTTCATTTTGTCAGCATTTCTTCAGATGAAAGTTTAATTAATACATTAGACTAGTAAAACTATGAGCATACATTATGATTTTGTAGGTATACATTAGGTGAGGTAATTCTGTCAGGTGATCAGGCAGCTTGTGTTATATCAGATCATGGTAACGATGTATTGTTACAACATCAACCAACAACTGGTCTACCAGCAAATGTCGGGGATGTTAGTCTAGGTAAACTCCCAGTTGTTTCTTGATATCTGTATTTCAGAATCTTTGCCTCCGTGGTCGAGGGGTTAGAGTCGATGACTTCTAATCCAATTACCTCTCTGGCGTGGGTTCGATCCCCGGGAGATGCTTTGGTAGTTTAGCACGGAGGAAGGTAGTCTAGTACTGGTGTAACTCTCCAGGAGCGATGGTTAGGAAACTACCCGCCTATATGACTGAAATACTGTTGGGAAAAGGCGTAAAATGAAACAAACAAACAAACAAACATTTCAGAATCTTCATTGTTCGATGAATTATGACAATATTGACTAGAGTCATATTCCATATGTGGCTGTATTCATTTCTAAAATGTTAAAGCCATCCATATTTAAATGATTTGAAGTAGAATATAAATTTAATAGTTAAAATAGTAAGTGCGCAAATAGTAGGATTTGTGCAATTTGGTTATATCTATCATAATCATTTCAAATTCAAACTTTCCCAGTGCATTTTTCGTCTGTTGAGCCTACTTAGTATGTCTTTTTCATAGATTTATGTCGTTATCTTACTGATAATTAATGTTAGATTGTTCAACCCATTCAAATAAAATTCAATATGTAAAAGAATAGGTTTTACAAATTATTATTTGGTGATATCTGAAAACTGTTATCTTTAGAAAACTTGCTAGATGCTCCAAGGAGATCTGCTAAGAAAGGTTCTGCCACAGAGGTAAAGATTGAAGAGGAAGGTCAAGGTCAAAGTGGCAGAGGTCGTAAAAGAAAACTTGACACCCTGCAACCCCAGGCAACAAGTACACCAACACCTAAAGGAAAGATGGAGAGTAAAATCTCCAAAAGAAGGAAATGTGAGGCTTTTATTTACCTATATATTCTATTTTAGATTTTCTTTTCACCTTGTCTTTCATTTCCATTGGTTAAAACCTTGGCATTTTCTAAGGAAGCAATCAAATTAGCCGAAAGAGTGGTCAGTGGTTCTAGTGTTTGAATTAATGTATGGGCTCTACTTTTAGGAAGGGGTGTGTGTGATAGAGTGGTTAAGGTCATTGACTTAACACCACTTGCCCCTCACTGCTTTCACTGCTTTTGGTTTGAATCCCAACAGGAACTTTTGATTCTATAATATGAGGAAGCTATTAAATTAGTTTTCAGAATGTGATGGTTCTACTCAGGGCTCCTTTTGTGCACAAAGGGGAACCCGAGATCTTTGTCGACCATTAAAGCTGGAAAGTTGCCATATGACCTATTCTGTGTTGGTGCAACCAAAAACACAACCCGAAAAGAAATCTAATTTTATGCTTTTTCCATGTTTATTTCATCAATGGTAAATCTCAACATAAAAGCACCTTTTATTTATTTATAAGTTATGGTTTACAATGTTACAGTGTTGTCAGACAGTCCAATATCTGGTATTCAATCATCTCCTGTCACTGTTGGAAAATCACTGAGGAAAACAAGAGTTGGTATGTAAAATTTCTTGTCTTTAAAGTTATCAAAGTTATTATGGTAATGACATACATGAACATTGTGAGCAACTTATCATTGACTGTTTCTTTACTTATTTGTACAGTTCTAAAATTGTTAAAACTCCAGATGAATTGCTTTAAAAAAAGCAGTTTGGAATATTATTCTTGAGAAGGGCAATGCCTATAGGGAAAAAAAACATTTTAGAGTATTATTAGTGACCAAATGTTACATATTGTAAGCTTTTACAATGTCAAACACAGGGCAACATAAAGTCTTAGTATTAGGATAGAACTGATTATTAAACCAATCAAGGGTAATATACAATGGCATGGTGAATTATTATAATAAAACACAATTGGCAAGTTTCAACATAATTCACATATCAAATGAGAATGTTAATATAAATAAACCTTAATTAGTATTGGTCAAAACACAAATAACAGGTCATAATAGAAAATCAAGAAAAAAAGACATTATAAGCAATTTACAACACGTCTTTGAAATCTCAAGGGTCTAAGAAAAAATATGTCATGAAGATGTTTGACAAAAGTGTATCATGATCATATACAATGTTATCATAACCTTCTATCTCTAGGTTTATTTGGACGAGATCTTGGACCAGTCCCTACTAAGAAGATCTTCAAAAATATGCATTTTCTACTGACAAATGTGGAAAAGACCAAAGAACAGAGTGAGCAGGAGAAGAAATTGATACAGAACACGTCTCTAGATACCTCAACTGATGAAAGTGCTGCTGAAGGTTGGTATATTACTGCTGATCTATGAAAATATAAAAGATATACACATTTTTCTACTCTATATTCTATAAAGGTACATACATTTATGTGATTAAGTGTAAAGATATTGTATTATTGAAACCACTTACAAGCATTGAAAACAAGAAAAAGAAATGGTAGTCTTTAATAGTGACAGACATCATTAATTAAACTATATCAGAAATATATTTTGTATAGGCATTATGTCTAAGTAATTTTGACAATTTTATTAATGTATTGTACTGTATGTTACTGTGAATGATGAGAAAATATTAGGATAACACTTAAAAAGAATGAAAATGATTTCCTAGATTTAACGATGATTGTATGTATTATAGAGGAGGCAAGTGTCCCGTTTGACAAGGAACATCTGAAGCAGCAGATAGAAGCTGGGGGTGGTACTGTTCTAGAAAGTCTCGATGAAAATCTCGTAATCTTTTTCTTTTACTTTATATCTGAATATTTTATATATATATGAACAGTTGCTGTAGCAAATCTAGAAACCTAGAAATGATAGCATTTGACAACAATATATCTGATGGTTATGCATAAAGTTACCAAATCAGGGTGATGTATTGCAGAAAAAAAGCGGTGTTATTATAAAACCTGCACTAACAGTGCGAGACTAACCTTAATACATTCATAAGAATTAAATTAGAAAAAAAATAGTGAAGAAAAAAAAACAGGTCACAAAAAATTGTTTCTCTATTCATAACACCAATCTTGTGGAATAAAAAAAATTAACATTTTCCAGCGAATCTTGAATTTCTGATCTGTAGTATAAGGGGGAATTTATAACATCATTTGGAAGTACTAACAAATGTCACTTAACTAATTTATTGATAAATTTTCAATAATCCTTTAACTGCTTGATCAATGACATTATTATCAGTCTTATAGAAATCATATCTTTTCAGTAGATGGTTACAGCTCCTCATTATGAATTTCAGATAAAAGTTTGGCAAATGAGAGCAATGTTGTAAAATATATAAACTGAATGCATACTTGAAATTTTTATTAACCTTAACTTTCAGGTTTCCAAGGGTAAAAGAAAAATAATACTATTATCATCAACATATCAGCGGACGATTAAATACTTGCAATGTTTAGCTGGCGGTGTTCCTTGCCTGTCTCATATGTGGGTCATAGACTCGTGTTCTCAGGTAAGTTTGTGTATGTAAGGGATTTTGTATATAGTCTATTGCACTATAGAATTGGAAAGATTTCATTATAATATCTCAACATAATGTTAATATATGCAGCATGTTTTGTGTACCAAAGAAAAAAATGTTAACTGTTCTTAGATAGCAATATTTCTATTCTTACTTCATTTTCATTGAAGAATGAAAATCCTATTAACAAAATAATATAGTTTTGTTCACGTAACATGGTTCAGGTTGTTTTTGTTGTTGATAATGTAAGCTCTCTTGTATATACATGTATTTTATGGTCAAGATATATATAATGTACCACTCTTATTGTTAGAGGTACATGCAATATTTCAGTTCTTGTAAATGATTCTAGATGATTCATTATTGTAGGATAATTTATTAGATGACAAGTCATATGTGTTACCAGCTGGTATAAGTCTAGAGAAGAGGAAAATCATGGAATGGTTTGTACTAATGTAGTAATGTTATATATAAACAACTCAATGGCTCATGCAATAAATCACCACATGTTACTCTTGTGGAACTGGTCATTGAACCAATATTTTGCTATTTTAATAATTTTAGATTTCTGCTTTAAAAGGTTACAATATATAATAATATACAGTAATATTTCATTTTAAGTTTTAAGTCACATTGATTCAGCCTTTATAATAATTATTTGATATAGAAGGTGTTGCTCACTGCATTATTTAAGCACCAGGAGGCACTTGCTTACAGAATTATAACCCAAGTTAAGGTCATTCAGGCTAGAAACAGGTTTTCTATATTTCCATAAAGTACAGCCACAAGATACTGGGACAATCTATCTGTTGTTTTTAACATATATACAAACATGGCTGAGTTTGTTGTGTGAAGTATTGATATTAATTTTTCAGGAGAAAGAAGAATAATGTGTTTCAAGGCATAAAGGCTGTGGTATATTCTAAAAACAATAAGTTTGTTGAGTCATGGACTCAGATCCTATCACTGTCCAAATGTCACGTGCATAAACAGGTACAGTATAGTGATGTACATGTGATAGTAACTGATAACACGTGCACACCAGCTATACAGAGGGCCGCGGAGAATGCATCTATACCTCTTGTAGGTACAGAATGGGTAATTCAGTGCCTAGTTAATGGTAGATTGATGTCTTACACCGGACATTCAAGATATAACCATGACTGCTGGTCATAGTTGACGGTTTTCAAACAATCTGTATTCATCCATCTTAGTCATGAAAAAACCAAGCCGACAAAGTATTAACAATGTACTCTTTTATAGCAAAAATTTACTGAAGGATGTAATATTTTAAAGGAGTGGAGATGTATTTGTGTATGTTTTTTGACATTTGATCTTTGTTCACTTGTGTAATGTACAGACCAGTTGGCCAGGGAAACTCACAGAAAGATATTATCCATGCAATTCCTGTTGTAGGACTATCCCATTGTAAAATACAGGTTTTTTTCTTTCAATGAGGGGTTGACATTAACATTTAGGAATAAGAAAATTTTATAAAAACAAATGGTAAATTTTATGGACTAAGGATTGGTTAGAAATTATCTTGGGACTCAATTTACTTGTGTAGTAAAAAAATAGGTGGGACCAATTTTTTTGTGTGGAATTAAGATTTATCTTAAATACTTTTCATAATATGGGGATTTAATTAAAAATGTTAATGGCATGTGGATTAGATAAGAAATATTGGAATATGTTTTAATTAATTGTTAGGGTGGAGTATTAATTTGAATCAAATTTTGCAGGAGGTTTAATTTGTTTAGGATCTAGATTTATTTACAGATTTCAGATGAAACATTTTCATGGAATGTGAATATGATTATGTTTCTTGTGGTACTAACATTGTCATGGTTTTAAGTTTCCCTTGTTTAAGTGTAAAACATCTTGTTCTAAGATATATATTCTAATATTTCAACCAGTATATTTTAAACATATTTGTGTTCATTTTATAAACAAGTGTTCAGTAAAAAATGTTATAGTAGAATATAATCATGTTTTTACCATTGTCTTGGGTATTAAATTATGCATAATAAATATGGGTATATTTTTAAAATTGATAAATGCAGGGTAAATTGGGTTCACCAAATTTCAAATATTTAAATAACTGTTTATGTTGTACCTAATTACTGGAAAGTAAAATAAAGTAGAAACATAAAATATATAAATAAGCCTAGCTTCCCATTCACATCTTTGTAAATTCATTATTTCATTTATTTATTGTAAAATTTCATTTTCTTCCAAAATCATTTTACATTTTTTATCTCATCAAAAACTCTTGAAAGTAACTTTGGTTGTATTATTGTATGGCACTTTACAGTCTGTCAGTCTGTCCTTTTGTCACATCAGTGTCCAGTCAAAAACTTGATAAATATTTTAAGTGTGCTGTCTTAAATGTTAGGAAGGAGGAAGGTCATGGCCACACTCATAGATTGTCCCTGTTGATTTTGAGGTCATTAAATTGAATGTCAAGGTCACATTGACTCACTAAGTGTAAAGTCCCTGTCCAGTTAATAAATGATTCATTAAAACTAAATAGGAACATTGCCCATGGCAAGGGGATGACCCCTATCAATTTTGAGGTCATTTAGTCAAAGGTCAAGGTTTACAGTGACACTTGTGTAAAATTATTGTCTCTGATCAATAATTTGTTCTGTTTTGTTTTGTTTTCTTTTATTTTTAAGTTGAATGTTATTATATTTCAACATTATACAGCTTGCATATTGACATGTGGAGCTCTTGTTCATCTATTGTATTTTATTTCATCATCAATCATTAATTTCGTTTCTTTCATTATTTATTGCATTCTGAAAATACATGTATCGATTTTTATATTGTCCCTTTTTTTGAAAACTTTCATTTATAACTATTTACAACTTGCATCTTAAACCTAATTTTAATGATTTTGATACAAATTTATTGCATCTTGGAAATATTGTTCTCTTACGTATATCTTATTAGTTACATTTCAGTGGTTTAGTGATGTTTTCATTTTTAATCTCATCTTTTAAATATTCTTTCCTCATTTTACTTACATTAAGAGATTTAGCATTTGTCTATTTATTTCCATTCAAGAACATCATTTACTTCAGATAAGTCAAACTTTGTTTTGTTGCCATTATGTGCCATCTATATTTTATGTTTATTGCAAGTTTTTCAAGATTTGTTCCTGTTGGTTTATACCATGTACTTTAGTTGTAAATTATTCCTTTAGTTGAAGAAACTTGTTCAGATATGTACTTTTTTAAGTGTGAAATATAAGAATTTCCAACCTTGTACAATCATGTTATTTTCATATTGTTATAATCATGTCTGGTGAAATTTTAACAAAAAGTCTTGTTATTTAACACTCAAGAAGAGAATATTTTGTTGCTATACACCTTCCTTATTTTTGTTTATTCTTTATAAGGCGGTTGTACTGTTACCTTATTTGCCTTCATCTGACTATATCATGTTTTATACCATCATGCATCAAATTTTTATTGAATTGTACTGAGATTGTTTTTATGAACCAATTAATGTTTAAATTAGATTTACAATATCTGTTGTTTTGAATTATGTAAAATATTACTTAAAATTGAATTTAACGAACATTTTTTTTACATTTTAAAAAAAGGGGAGATCATTTAAGCTAACTTCAGTATATTGTCAGGATATTTGATATTGTTGAACATGGATCCTAAACATAATGATTATTTTCTCTGATATTGTTAAGTTTTTATGTATGACCACAACTTACCTCATAAAGTGCATTCCATCAATTCTGTCTTGATTAATTAATGGCCCATTATGCCATAGAATCTGAAATGCTTTTATTATTATATCTCAAAAGTTATTTTATTATTATTGGTTTCCTTTTATAGTTTCTAAAATGTTATTCATTGACCAAATAACTTTAAACTTCTTTTGCTTCTTTTTTTTTTGGCAATTAGTACAGTTAAATATTTTGTATGGAAGTCAAAAAACTACTTTGCTTATATTTTTGCTACTTTTATGACAAATAATTCCACATTCTTAGTTACCTTTTTCACATGATAAGCATCTAAAATGGTCTAAAAATAGTATCTAAACAGCATAAAACTTATGTTTGTCTATACCAAAGCATAAAAGAATATTTGTTTCTGGGGCATAATGTGCCTTTAATATATCTAAATGTTATAATTAGTGGAATAATTATTGGAATAATTGTTTGTGCCAACTTTCTGAATTAATTTGAGTGGTGTCGATATTGCATGCAGAGAATTTCACAGTTATATAGTGCTACACAATGTTTATAAAGTTGATCAGATTCCTTAACCTGCTAAATTTCTAAGCTTCCATTTTTAGCTCACCTGTCACAAAGTGACAGGGTGAGCTTTTGTGATCGCTTTTCGTCCGTCGTCCATCCGTCCGTAAACTTTTACTTTAAATGACATCTCCTCATAAATCACAAAGCCAATTTCATCCAACCTTCACAGGAATGTTCCTTTGGTGGTCACCTTTAAAAATTGTTCAAAGAATTTAATTCCATGCAGAACTCTGGTTGCCATGGCAACCGAAAGAAAAAACTTTAAATATCTTCTTTAAAAAACCCTAAGAGCTAGAGCTTAGATATTTGGCATGAAACATCTTCTAATGGGTGTCTACCAAGTTTGTACAAATAAAAGCCCTGGGGTCAAAATTGCCCCCCACCAGGGGGTCATTGATTTTCCTTATATGTATATAGCAAAAACTTAAAAAATCTTCTTTGAAAAAACCCAAATAGCTACAGTTTAGATATTAAGCATGAAACATCTTCTAGTGAGTGTCTACAAAGTTTGTTCAAATAAAAGCCCTGGGGTCAAAATTGGCCCCGCCCCGGGGGTCATTGATTTTCCTTATATGTGTATAGCAAAAACTTAAAACTCTTCTGTGAAAAAACCGAAATAGCTAAAGTTTACTCAAAACTGGCATCGCCCTAGTGGTGTCATTGTTTTTAACTATATGTGTATAGTAAAAACTTTAAAAATCTTCTTTGAAAAAACCAATGAGCTCAGAGCTTAGATGTTTAGCATGAAACATCTTCTTATGAGTGTCTACCAAGTTTGTTCAAATAAAAGCCCTTGGACTAAAATTGGCCCTGCCAGGGGGGGGGGGGGGAGGCCTATATACAGGTGAGCGACCTCAGGGCCATCATGGCCCTCTTGTTTGAACTGTCAATTGTCTGTTGTGGGAAAATCAATTGAAAAATTTGAATTTGGACAGCTTACAGTGTAGTAGACAGATGTGTTGCCTGGCCTGGCTCTATACTGGTGGCAAGGGCTAATTACTTCAGGTTACAGCAGAGTAAGGGGTTAAACAAAGCATGTGAGAGTTTTATGGTTGAATGTCTTGTAAATGATTGAGTATTTACCTACCGGTATTTTGTTCTAATTTTATGAAGGTTAGTTGAGGTTGTGGATAATTTTCATAGCTAACACCTTTATGATGAATATATGAGCATATATTTGACATCGAGCCATTATTCAGTAGATTGTTGTTAAATTTCTAATAAACTATGTTCAACCTTATGTTTAACATTACTCCTACTGCTGACATGGCATGTATGATTTTTGTTGGGAGGTTTTATATGATTGTGTAGAATTGGTAGGAATTTGTTAGTTGCATGTGTTATAGGGTCCATTTTTGTTGTGTTTTGATTTATGATGATATAATTTTATTGCTTGACTCACTTTCTGGAAATCAAAATTGGTTGGTTTTTATTAGATTTTAATTGGATATTGTTTATCTGCAATAAGGGTTTAAAGAATGAAAGTTTTTATATTAATTTTATGCCTAGTCTTTTTAATGTTATTCATTAGTCTTGCCATTATAAATATATTTTAAGAGAATATGCAGATAGGAAATAAGGAGGAAGTTTTCTTTAAATTTGTTTTTAGTTGGTGACTATAAAAAAAATCCAACAGCAGTGGGAAAATAAAATCTTTTGATACTACATTGTACATGCTGATAGCTGCATGTAGGAATATACCAAATTGGAATTTTTGTTACATTCAGAACTGTTTGATGTCCAAAAGATAGAAGTTAAAGCACAAGGCTGGTATGATTTAAATGAACTACAATACTATTACTTACTTTAATGTAAAAGGGAGATAATCTGTGATTAATCAACTCAGAAAAACAAACCTTTGTCTGGTCTAGATCAGATTAAACAGTTGGACAGTTAACTTGAAACCTACTACATGTATGTGATATAGTGAACCCAGTTTATCACACTTTACTGGTATTCAACCAGTTAAAAAAAAGTTAGTATTAGAACAGAAAAAGACTTAATAAGGCTTTTAAGCAACACTGAAAACCTTTAAACCACCACAAAAAGGCTTATTTTAACCAGCACTCAAAAGACTTTAAACCAGCACTGAAAGTGCTTATTAAAAGCAGCTTTAAAAGGAAAGGCTCACTGAAACAGCTTACTAAAATGTCTTATTTAAACCAGATCTCTTTAAGTTTTATATAACATTTCTCAGTCCATGGCATCTTGTCTTGGCCTTAAGTGCCATGCATTTAAATTTACTCAATCTAGAAAGTAAAAGTCACTGTAGAAGAGAATCAGTTATTATTATCATCAGTACCTCATAAAATTTGTTAGATTTTTGCTCATACTGTGGGTGTTAAGATATTTGGTGTAACATCGTTTTAAATTGTTTTCTTAGTTTAGTTTATGTTGGAGATAAATTTTATCAAATAAATTGAATGAAAATATTTTTTGTTGTCTTTTTTTTTCTCTTGTGTTGAATTGCTCTTTATCCTTTGAGGAGCGTCCGTGGCCGAGTGGTTAAGGTCGTTGACTTCAAACCACTTGCCCCTCACCGCTGTGGGTTCGAATCCCCACAGGGACTTTGGATTCTTTCATGTGAGGAAGCTATCCAGCTAGCTTACGGAACGGCATTGGTTCTACTCAGGTGCCCGTTTGTGCTTGAAATAATGCAATGAAGGGCACCCGAGGTCTTCCTCCACCAGTAAAGCTGGAATGTCGTGATATGACCTATACTGTGTCAATGTGATGTAAAACCCCAAAGCAAACCAACAAACTTTATCCTTTGTAAAAAAGTAAGTCCAGCAGGTTTTTAAGATTTCCGTTTTCATGATGGTACAGCAAGTTGGTTAACCCTTAGCCTTCTGGCAACATCTGAATTTATCATACACATTTGTACTGTCTGATCATCATAGTCTATATTGCTTGCTACAATCAAATTTTTTCCCTAAAGGTGATGAATGGTTTTGTCCTAATTGAGACATGAACAAGTCCAATTTTAGATATTTCGCATGGTAAGGGTTGTCACATCTCTATACATTGATTTGTTCTGTGTCAAGTTGGATATCTTCCCCCCTGGGACGTCCAAAGTATGTCTCAACTAAGATATTCATGAACTTTCATGTGTAGTACTATGTATTTTAATGTTTGAAAAACTTCACTGAGCTTTTACTAAAATACATGTATAATAATGAAAGAGCTATGTTATCACATTTAAAATCACACATGAAGTTATTGAACTAAAGCAGTGATGGATCAGTGCAACTTGTTTTCTAAAACATTACTCCCAAGCTTAATCAACCAGACTAAAATATACAAGTGGTGGGACACTCACTTTGAGCACATTCAACCTTCTTGTTATATACCAGTGATAGGACACTGGAAGTACTCTTTGTTTGCTCAGGAATAACAGAATTGCTAACTGGACACAACCATCAATGCACTCTTATAAATACAGTTGACTCTCAGTAACTCGAAATCCAAGGGACTGGGCATTTCACTTCGAGAGAAACGGAATTCGAGTAACGTGGATCTGCCGCCATTACATTGACATTCGTACATGTATATACATGTGCCTGATGGAATGTGCAAAATCTAACCGTTGAAATGGCGGTAAATCCCTTACAACTACAAATTATAAATGAACAAAATATATCATTCAAAATTTAATACATGCATATTTATAGTGAAACATAAACATGTGTATTATCTATTAATAGTGAAACATAAACACAAACATTCGTAGCAATGACATAAATGCAAGTGTGTTAACTTTTAAAAGCAATTAAGTCCTGGAACCGATTAAAGCCACTTTTACGACGTGCTAATAATATATGATGACCGGCATTTAAAAATACTATGAAACGTGTGAATCACGAGTGACAACATCTCACCTTGATGTCGCCGACCTTTGATTAGTCGGCTGTTTTCACACTTCGACTAATTGAGATGAAAATATGTTGGACTTTAATTGACGGGACCAAATTTTCGTTTCGACTAAACATGAGTCTCGGTAAGTCAAAATTTGACCTAAGCAGAGTTAAAATACAAAGATAAAGAAGAAAATATGATGGGACTTTAGAAATTCTTCGACCAACGCGGAATTTCGAGTAAAGCGATTTTGACTTATTGAGAGTCAACTGTAATTCCAAGTCCAATGTGACCTTGAAATTTAGACCTACATATCTCAAGCCTTGCATGTGACGCATCATCTTTTATGACATTTATGTCATATTCAAAATCCATCCAATAACAAAGTTATGGACAGGACAATTATTATGAGGCTATTGTTCTCTCATTGTTCTTTTCAGCAACATAAAGGAAAATAGCCAAATACATGCCTTATAGAATGAATGACACCAAAGAGAAAGTACAGTTACCAATAGAATTCATTCTGTAGAAATAGAGGAAAGGGCCAATGGACCTCTATTTAACGAAAGAGAATAACAATAGAAATGGTCCTATTTCCCAATTCGGACAGGTACTTACATTGCCAGAGGAACGATAGTTGCCTTTTGTTCTGTTTACAGTTAGACGGCCACCTATCCCTATTTCGTAGTGCCGACAGACAGATGGACAGACAAAAGCTCTATGCCACCAATTTGGGTGGCGGGGGGGGGGGTAAAAGAAGAACAAATACCTTTATATCTAATTCATGTATATATTTATTTTATCAAATGCAAAAAATGCATAAATAATGATAACAAATTTGTATTATGATAGTGACCAGTATTATAAACAAAGTTAGGCCCAAGACAAAAAACTTACCTCAGGCACATTAATGTTAATACAGAAAATAAAATTACAAACTATTTAGATATAACATTCATAAGCAACTTGAATAAAGAAAAAATAAGATTTTATTTCTCTTTTAATAAAAAAACTATTACTGTATTATATTATTGTTCCTTATTTTACTGAAAATCAAAAATACCTACTGAAAATCAAAAATACTGTATCTTTTTCAAAAACGTGAAATCCATGGACTTTTTTGGAGGGTCTCAGATACAGTATTATAATGTGTAGAATGTTACCATACAAGACATAGATGAACATGGTTTTTAAAGTTCCTACTTTGGACAAGACTAAATGTTTGTAAAATGCACATTTTAAACAAGTACAATATAGCCCTGTATATTGTTAACATCTATTTCAAAAATGACAAAATCATTAAATAAGCATACAATCATGTGTAACAAGATATATAAGTATAGCAAATACAATGTTTCTCTTTCATGGGTATATAAATGTATTCTCTAATACAGAGACAAACTCTTACTGTATTCAATAAATGATATATATGAGCCGCGTCACAACAAAACCAACATCTGCGCAGTCTGATCAGGATCCATGCTGTTCGCTTACCAACCCTATTACAAGTAGAGAAACTGATAGCTAACAGCATGGATCCTTATCAGACTGCGCGGATGTGCAGGCTGGTCTGGATCCATGCTGGTCGCAAACGCACTATGTTGGTTTTGTCGTGACGCGGCTCATATAACAAACTATTTTGTAGATTGTTTAAACACTAACAAGAGCACCGCTAGGCGGAGCATTATATGCCCGAAAGTGATTTTTTTTTTTTTTTAGTAAAGATGAAGAATTTGTAAGACATGGGAATTAAATAAAGTATCATTACCTCCTTCACAAGACAATCATCCTTTGAAGTTTCAATATTGTGGTCCAAATGGAACTTAAGTTATGCCCCGGAAACTGTTTTCATTTCTAAGGTAATAGTGACCTTTGACCTTGTGACCCCAAAATCAATAGGGGTCTTCTACCCAATATGGACAATCATACTATGAAGTTTAAACACAGTGGGCGAAATGAAACTTAAGTTATGTTCCGACAACTGTTTTTAGTTTTAAGGTCATAGTGACCTTGACTTTTGACCTTGTGACCCCAAAATCACTAGGAGTCTTCTACCTCATATGGACAATCATCCTATGAAGTTTGAATATTGTGAGCAAAATTGAACTTAAGTTATGCTAAAGAAACTGTTTTCAATTTCTAAGTAAAAGTGACCTTGACCTTTGACCTTGTGACCCCAAAATCAATAGGGGTCTTCAACCCAATATGGACAATCATCCTATGAAGTTTGAACACTGTGGGCCAAATGGAACTTAAGTTATGCTCCGGAAACTGTTTTCAGTTTTAAGGTCATAGTGACCTTGACCTTTGACCTTGTGACCACAAAATCAATAGGGGTCTTCTACCCAATATGGACAATCATCCTATGAAGTTTGAACACTGTGGGCCAAATGGAACTTAAGTTATGCTCCGGAAACTGTTTTCAGTTTTAAGGTCATAGTGACCTTGACCTTTGACCTTGTGAGCCCAAAATCAATAGGGGTCTTCTACCCAATATGGACAATCATCCTATGAAGTTTGAACACTGTGGGCCAAATGGAACTTAAGTTATGCTCCGGAAACTGTTTTCAGTTTTAAGGTCATAGTGACCTTGACCTTTGACCTTGTGACCCCAAAATCAATAGGGGTCTTCTACCCAATATGGACAATCATCCTATGAAGTTTGAATACTGTGGGACAAATGGAACTTAAGTTATGCTCCGGAAACCAAATTGCTAACGGACGGACGGACGGACGGACGGACGCCAGGGGGTATAACATAATATGCCCGAAATTCTTTCGGGCATATAATAAAAGAGTACAAGTTCTATGATATATGGTCCTTAAAGACAAATCCTAAAAAAAAACAAATTCAAAAAGAAATATTGTTCATGCAAAACATGTAAATCAGCTGTTTGGATGCTGATAAAGTTAACCTTGTCATTTGTTATATAATGCCATAAAAGCACATACCCTGGTGAGTATTTGTTATTAGAGAAAAAATATTCCTACTTCCTTTACTTTGCTGTACCTAGATTTCTAATATTTTCTTAATGCATTTGGCATATTTTGATGAAGTTACTGTTTTCTTTTTCTATTTCCGGAATTTTGTGTGGATATATATGTAGATACAGCATTTGTTCCCTTAAATACTTAAATTTATATAAAGAATTAGTCCTACATTGCCTTTGGAGCAGTCCATTGTAAGATTTAGAGATTTTAGCATTAAAATATTAATATAGAGTAACATTACAGTGTCTGGTGTGACAGTACAGATGTGTAGACTGGCTAGCCTGAGTCCATCTTGGTGACAGAATATAGGTCAATTAATATCATAACTAGCACTCAAAGGGTAAACAATGAACAATAAGCACATGTGAACATTGATATATGTTAAATACATACAAACAAATGATACTCAAAGATGAGAAGTAAGTTTATAATGATTGGTAACAAATCATTGGCATCCTACCTTGGTCATACACAAAAACATGGAAGTGGCCAAGAACTTTTGTATAATAATATTTCAATTACTTAAGCATTCAACAATTCTAGAACTTACTGTAAAGTAAAAAACATGATAAAAGTAGTGGGATTTATGGCCGCTGATGCATATAATGCACATTAAAGGCATAATTATAATGTTTTCTATAAAAACTTCAAAATTTGCATACATAAACAGGACTTAGCTATATACATGAATAATGTATCATGTTAAAAAACACAAATGCCATTCTATAAAGTAGTTAAAACATGGTGTGTAGTTAAAATGACTCTTTGGTACATAATTATGATTTTCTTTGCAAAACTTTTTTTGTTCTTATCATGTAAAATTAATGAAACAAAACAACGATCTGTAATGATTTTAGAATTATTAATGAATACAAGTCAATATACCTACAATATTATTTTTTTCAAATTCTCTATCACGATATTTTTAGATGATATTATAAACATGAAAAATAGTGCTTTGTATGTCCTTAATTTCAAAGCTGATCCAATACAAACATCAATGTCTGCATATCAATAAAAAATTTGGCATCATAATGACCACATAATGCATATTATACAGAAATATTTAAAGCAACAAAGATATAAGTACATTAACATTTCACAATTTGATCATCAGCAAAAAATATTGATTTAACACGTATCTCTGTGACTATGTGAAATAAAAATTTCAAACAATTTTGTTCCAAATCAATTGAAAATGAATGTATTAAAAAATTTTAATGCTCCAAGAGGTAGAAAATGATTAAAATAAAAGTGAACTACTATAAATGAGTCAAAATATACAAATAGGTTTGTTTTCCAATGAAAAGGAATGATAGAATTTTACATTAAAGTAGTCCAATATCATTAAATTACATAAAAGATAATCTGATAATCCATAATGTACATGATACAATCATCATAATGTAAAATACATGTAATAACAAAATGTAGTACATATACAGTCTAACCTGTGTAATAAATTATCTATAAATACAGAACATTGTTTATTGATCCATTTTAAGGGTCAAACAGAGCCAATAGAATAATAGATTTCACCCCTATTGTTGGACAAGACTTTTTTTTTTATCAGTCAAAACATTGGTGTCAAAGGTGGGAGCTGTTATCACGTTCATTTTGACCAAAATACTGCTGGCAATCCCAATGACATGGTCCTTAAATATTAAGGACAAAAGCCTGTCTAATAGACCTATAATTTCATTAACACCTATTATTTCATTACATATAACATAATTCACAATACATATCTTAATCTGTAATGAAAGTCTACCTCGCAACAGAGACCACTGTGTCACTTTCAGGCAGAGTCTGTATAGACTGTATACTCAAACAATGCATATAAATGAATCAATTATAAAACTGCAAAGTCAGCAATAATTGAATTAGTGTTATTTTTAGTGTTTATATTTAGGTGTTAATATTTCATGACTAGAAAATGTTATTTATTTACATTGATTGTTCTTGCATATGAATTAAAGCCAGACATTAGTGTAGGAGTTTTCCGCTATAATTCATTATTTTCAAGTACCTTGGCACCCATTAACTTATACAACACTTAACAGAAACATTCAAGTAGTTCAACAGCTTATATTGATTGGTAAATTATATCTACTTTCAAAGTTTATTGGTAAATTAAATTACATAATACACACAATTTGGCAGGGAAATTCAAAATCTATCAAGTGTGTGAAATGGTTCACAAGTTTTTATCGTAAGTATGCATTTTCAAATTAAGTCATAAATTGAAGATTCTTATAATAAACAGAATATAAATTGATCAATTTCATTTCGTTTGTTTAGAATATAAGTGTAAATATTAGATGCCAAGAGAATATTGCAATATATAAAATAATTTTGCAGATAAATAAAACTGAAATTAAATTAATAAAATAGTAATTTACTGTAATTTCACTGCATAAATTGCAATTTTACGCATGATGGTTTTATTACTTAACAAAATAAATTTTAACCTCATAAATTTTATTAACCTACTTAAATATTCAATATAAAGTGAAGAGTAAGGTTTGTGATTGTCTGATGTTACCATCATTGATTCAATACTCCAGAATATTACACAGTTGACTATTGTTTCTGTATATTTTCTGTTTGACTATTGTTTCTATATATTTTCTGTAACTGTAAACATCTGTATAATACACATCATCATAAACACCATCCATGAAGAACTGTTAACCTTACACACAGATTAAATAAAGAGACAGATATTTGGATTTCTTTAACTATAAAGTTTAGAAAGCTATGGCAAGTTGAAGGTGCCGCATTAATTAAAGTTTACCCACTACCATACAAATTGTTAACCCATAACCTGATGGAACCGAAAGTGATTAACCTTTGCCACCAGTACTGAGCCAATCCAGCCTTCACATTTGTGTCATCTGACCAGGCTCTATATTGTTGGCTTACTTACTTAAGTGGTCATTCTGATATTCACATTATTTAATGGGCAGTTCTAAAATGGAACACTGGACAAGTCCATTTAAAAAAGTCAGCAGGTTGAATGTTTATCAATAATGCAACAAATTTATGTCAGTGAAAAACTGTTCACATGACTCCTTTTTGCACAATATCTTAACCTACACCCATTTAACATTCACAAATAAGTAATATCTTGACACTTCATGCATACTGAAATGTAATTGTAGTTAAATGTATTCAATTTCTGCAATCATAAATCAAATATTAAACAGACAAAAAATCATAAAATATCACTACCTGTACATGAAGATTTAATATGAATACAGTGTACACACAAAGAAAGAAATGCATTCAAAATTGTTTAGATTTAATCAAACAAAAAACACCTTGACATTTCTTCCACATCATAGGAAAAAGTAAGAATGAATGGAAATTGTTTTATATCTTTCACAACAGGGTTCTACAATGATTTAAGAGTGGGTGGATACAGAGATAAAGTTAACATATGTGCTTCTTTCCCCTCAATCATTCTAAACCTTCTTGTTTATGAACTAGGTAAACTTTCTGTTCAAATACATTTAGTTTAGTTGTTTTTTCATCACAAATTACTTGACTTTGGCAATAAGGCGTAAGACCTTCATTAATATGACATTAAAACATGAACTATCACCGTTTATCAAAACTGACCTTACAGTTATTGTTTATTATTTAAGGGGGAGGGGGGGGGGGCTCTCAATAATAAAATGACAAATTTGAAAACAAAAGCATAAATGATATCAAGTTAACCCCTTATTCTTCTAATTTTCTCTACATATAATAGGCTTTGAATTTTGAACAGTCTGTTTGTACTGGCAGTATCAAAGTATAAAATTCAGTAGCTGACTTTTTAGTGTCTATGCATACTGCACAGAAGGGCAGACTTGGCCTTACTTAACAATGTTGTAACACTTTGATATTACTGGTCATATTGCTCAGAAGGACATACTTGGCCTTACTTAACAATGTTGTAACACTTTGATATTACTGGTCATACTGCTCAGAAGGACAGACTTGGCCTTACTTAACAATGTTGTAACACTTTGATATTACTGGTCATATTGCTCAGAAGGACAGACTTGGCCTAACTTAACAATGTTGTAACACTTTGATATTACTGGTCATATTGCTCAGAAGGACAGACTTGGCCTTACTTAACAATGTTGTAACACTTTGATATTACTGGTCATATTGCTCAGAAGGACAGACTTGGCCTAACTTAACAATGTTGTAACACTTTGATATTACTGGTCATACTGCTCAGAAGGACAGACTTGGCCTTACTTAACAATGTTGTAACACTTTGATATTACTGGTCATACTGCTCAGAAGGACAGACTTGGCCTTACTTAACAATGTTGTAACACTTTGATATTACTGGTCATACTGCTCAGAAGGACAGACTTGGCCTTACTTAAACAATGTTGTAACACTTTGATATTACTTGGTCATACTGCTCAGAAGGACAGACTTGGCCTTACTTAACAATGTTGTAACACTTTGATATTACTGGTCATACTGCTCAGAAGGACAGACTTGGCCTTACTTAACAATGTTGTAACACTTTGATATTACTGGTCATATTGCTCAGAAGGACAGACTTGGCCTAACTTAACAATGTTGTAACACTTTGGTATTACTGGTCATATTGCTCAGAAGGACATACTTGGCCTAACTTAACAATGTTGTAACACTTTGGTATTACTGGTCATATTGCTCAGAAGGACGGACTTGGCCTAAATCTATACTGGTGTAATACTTGTGTTATCATTACTATTAGTGATAGCAATCAAAGGGTTCATAAAACATATAGCTTTAGGAAAATTGAAATTTCTCCTAAAGTTTTTTTCTTTTTAAGCAGCCACAACCTTGCACATCTTCATGGTCAAATCTTAAAAACATAATTTTTGACAATAAAAAACCTATGTTTGAATTTATTCCATGTTCAATTATAAAACAAAACTGTTCTAGATTGCAAATTAAAGGAAATACTATGAAATACTATATTCTGCTGCAATCAAATTAATCAAAGGACATACTTCAAACACAAAATATATTAATACATGTATAACAAAAATATAGAAGTGATAAACATAGCTAAAGCAAAATATCTAATGTATTTATATATCATAGCAAACAAACTGTTAAATTTTGTTAATTCATACATAAATGTGAAAATGAGTATTTTTTGCTAGCACAACTTCATCATCAGTTTAAAGTCAGTTAAAATTCTGACTACTGTAAGTATAAAAGAATCACTTACACTGCATTGTTTTAAAATAAACAACACATATAAATACGATCTTAGTACATGAGAACAGTAAAATATAAAAGTTCTAAAATAAAACTCACTACCAGTCCGTCTGTTTAGAACAGAGCTTATAAAACAACCAATGAAATTATCCATAAAAATATTGAGGTTTTCTTTCTTTTTTTTTAAATTAATTTTAATTAAAAATAAAAATCAGACAACATTTCAATAATGTAAATTGTTTTATAAAATTATCTTAATTTCAGGAAAAAATTATGCATTATGTGGTTTGAATTGCAAAAAAAGAGGCAACTGTAAACATAAATGTCATTAACAAAATCAGCTTATAAAATCAACAACATTTTGACTATGCAACATGACACTAGTCTAGCAGTTATATAGCTTAAAAAACATAAACAAACAAGAGGGCCATGATGGCCCTGAGGTCGCTCACTGTATATAGCCCCCCATCCCCCCCCCCCCCCCCCCCGGGCCAATTTTTTACCCAAGGGCTTTTATTTGTTTATTTGAACAGACTTGGTAAACACCCATAAGAAGATGTTTCATGCTAAACATCTAAGTTCTAGCTCATTGGGTTTTTTAAAAGAAGATTTTTTAAGTTTTTTTACTATACACATATAGTTAAAGAAAATGACAACCCTGGGTCAGGGCCAGTTTTGACCCCCAGGCTTTTATTTGAACAAACTTTGTAGATATTTACTTAAAGATGTTTCATGCTTGATATCTAAACTCTAGCTAGAGCTTTGGGTTTTTTCAAAGAAGATTTTTTAAAGTTTTTGCTAAAACACATATAAGGAAAATCAAATAAGGAAAATCAATGACCCCCCCCCCCCCCCGGGGCCAGTTTTTGACCCCAGGGCTTTTATTTGAACATACTTGGTAGACACCCATTAGAATATGTTTCATGCTAAATATCTTAGCTCTAGCTCTCTGGGTTCTTTAAAATAAAGATTTTTTAAGTTTTTACTATATGCATATAGGGAAAATCAATGACCCCCTGGGGCGGGGCCAATTTTGACCCCAGGACTTTTATTTGAACAAACTTGGTAGACATTCACTAGAAGATGTTTCATGCCAATTATCTAAGCTCTAGCTCTTACGGTTCTTTAAAAGAAGATTTTTTAAGTTTTTACTATGTGCATATAGGGAAAATCAATGACCCACTGGGGCGGGGTCAATTTTGACCCCAGGGCTTTTATTTGAACAAACTTGGTAGACACTCACTAGAAGATGTTTCATGCCAAATATCTTAGCTCTAGCTCTTTTGGGTTCTTTTAAAAGAAGATTTTTTAAAGTTTTTACTATATGCATATAGGGAAAATCAATGACCCCCTGGGGCGGGGCCAATTTTGACCCCAGGGCTTTTATTTGAACAAACTTGGTAGACATTCACTAGAAGATGTTTCATGCCAAATATCTAAGCTCTAGCTCTTACAGTTCGTTAAAAGAAGATTTTTAAGTTTTTACTATATGCATATAGGGAAAATCTATGACCCCCTGGGGGCAGGGCCAATTTTGACCCCAGGGCTTTTATTTGAACAAACTTGGTAGACACTCACTAGAAGATGTTTCATGCCAAATATCTTAGCTGTAGCTCTTTGGGTTCTTTAAAAGAAGATTTTTTAAGTTTTTACTATATGCATATCGGGAAAAACAATGACCCCCTGGGGCGGGGCCAATTTCGACCCCAGGGCTTTTATTTGAACAAACTTGGTAGACACTCATTAGAAGATGTTTCATGCCAAATATTAAAGCTCTAGCCTTTAGGGTTGTTTAAAAGAAGATATTTAAAGATTTTTCTTTCGGTTTCCATGGCAACCAGAGTTCTGCATGGAATTAAATTCTTTGAACAATTTTTAAAGGTGACCACCAAAGGAACATTCCTGCGAAGTTTGGATGAAATTGGCTCAGTGGTTAATGAGGAGATGTCATTTAAAGGAAAAGTTTACGGACGGACGACGGACAGACTGACGGACGCCGGACGAAAAGCGATCACAAAAGCTCACCCTGTCACTTTGTGTCAGGTGAGCTAAAAACAGCAAAAAACAAGTAATTTTTAAGTAAATTATGTTTGAGATTATTGTAAAAACTTTAAAGACAATTGATCAGTCAGTTTGACAACATTTAAAATCAGATCTTTTAATATCTTATTAAACTTGAAATAGATTTTTTTTTTGCTAACCTTAAATTATTTTGAAGGCATTACAGTTTATGGTTCTATCTAAAACTACACCAGTTTCCTTATCTCATAAAAACAATCAATGTTCAAATTCATGTAAACTAACAAATATGAAAATTGGAAACATGAAAAAAAAAAAACATGTCCCCACTTTAAAAGCTAGTGTAAGTAATGGTAGTTTCAAATAAAGCATCATTTTTCAATATAAGACATATACATGTACATTATAAAATGGCTTTAACACAAAAACAGGTACTTGAGAGTTTAAGAACATAATATCACTAGATTGTATTAGACCAAGTACTGGAATTTTTACACATTTGTAGATTATATATCACTAGAATTATACCCAGTACTGGCTTTTACGTAGAACCGGTGGGCTAGAGGAACTACAATGTTGTAAGAGTTCCGGATCGTTAGTGATCCATTCTATCATATCACCCATACTGCTAATTGACTGATCTCTCTCCTCTATCCCACCAACAGCCCCTTCTAAATCATTGTCTATTAGTGGCGTAACTTTACACGTTGGTACAGTGCTACTTATTTCTGTACGCGTTACATCGGGTGAACGCGGAATACTTGTATCACGCATCATTTCATGTAATGGATCTTTAGATAGCATTGGTGTTATGACGTCTGCCTCTTCTGACACAGGTTGGTTTACACCGGGAATGTTCTGTGTATTTTCATATTCAACTACAGATTGACTGTCATCTGAAACACCACTGTCTTGTTCTTGTGGTTTAATTTGAATATGTGGCTGTTCTATTTGGTACGGACCACTAATATGCGGTCGTAACCGTGGCGATTTCTTAGTTGATGGATTGTAGTCTCTTTTTCTCCTTCCTCTCCAAACTAGATATACAATGATTAAAGTGATGATGATGATTAATAATAATGGAATGGAAACAGCTAAAATGATGACATGATTTTGTTTTAAACGACTAGGTTCAACTGATCCTTCATTTATAGGAGAGTTAACTCCCTTTTGAGAATCTTCACTAGACTGTGTCACTGGTTTAAAAGTGACTGGTTCTCTTTTAGAAGTTTTTGTTACAGGAATCACTGGTGTGTGTCCGGAAGGCTGTAAGTCAATATAAAACACGCCTTCCGCTGGCTGCACATTAAATGCAGTTAAAGAGTATGTAAAATTATCTTGACTGGCACTGTGTACACGATTACTATCAGTTTCATAATAAACTTTCATGTAAACAATATCTTCATGACTAAATTCATCTACAGCCTGAAATCCCGAAGAATCTCTGAAACTTTCATGATAAACTTGCCTTTTAGAAAACGTCCTTTTCTTCATAATTTTACCAAAATATGGACCGTATTTTAATCTATATTTTGGATTATCACCAGTCCTCTCAGCAAGCTTTGCAGCATCTAAATTTAACAAAGTCAAGGCAACCTTTTCAGTTTTTGCAGTGGACAATGGCCCTGTCACAACTAAAGGTTTCACTTTAATATTTATCTTTTCAACATTTTCATGTACATCCAATGCCAAAGATCCAGATCTGTATCGATATGTAATCTTTGACAAAGAAATAAAGTCCATACTAGCTGTTAAATCCATTTGTTTGTAAACAACCCTATTTTCATTTATTTCCTTTTGACTGAAATAATCCATATTTTTGCTGTTCACATATATTTTGCCATAATATGGTTGTCCTCTCAGAACATAATAAACATTTTCAATTAAACCATTTGTTGTAACATTTAAATTTTCCTGTGTAATATGAACTGTTGAATCAGACTGTAATATTTCCACTGTCGCGTTTTTTGTTATATTTACGTACAATTTTGTAACAAAAATCTCGAACGATTTATAAAAAGCCCGATGCCCTCCATCAGACACACTGAAAGTAAAAGCTCCCGAATCTTTGTAATACTTGTGTTTGAATACTACACGATTATCATTAATATCTTGCTGTGTAAAGTTATCAATTTTAATATTTTCTGCATCGATTAATGCTACATGTCCATTGTCTGCTTCTCGTATAATTTGGTACATGATATAATCCGGTGTTGTGTCTTTATCCACTGTGTTGAGAACAGACTGGTTTATTACCATAGTAAAACCTTGAATAATATGCAGACTGGGACTAGTTGTAACCAGTCTACAAGGTTCATCATTCACAGGGCGCACAGTCACATTCAGAACCAGTCCAAATGTATTCTCGTCATCAAAACCTCCTCTTAAACTTTGATCTTGTATCCTTAAATGTAATGTAAAATTAAAAGTGTCAAACACCGTGTCAGAGTCATCATGTTTATAAATTATCTCATGTCCGTTAACACTTCTTTGACCAAACTGCTCACCAATTACAAGGTCTGATCCACGAAACATTAACTTTCCGTGAAGAGGTGGATCTTTCAGACTGAATCGCAATCTAACACGTTTTTCTAATCTTTCAAGATTCCGCACAAATTCCGTGACATCCAAGTTATTTTTAGCAATAATCATTTCCCCTCCTTCATCTACTTGTATAGGTGAAATTCTAATCAACTGATTCTTATTTTCTGCATTCAAATTCCCATATGATACCATGATTTGAAATACCTGTGTATCCAATGCCTCTGCATATAGTGTGTTAACTTTGAATTGAAAGCTGTCATTCTGGATCCAACCACTCAGTCTGTCTGAATGCATGTAGAATATTTGTGAATTGTTTATCTCCCCCTGGTTAAATGAATTCACCTCAACAGCTCGTCCATTAAGCATTGTTACAACAGAGCCATGCCTTGGCTTGGATATAAGGGTGTATATGATTGGCTTAACCTGTTTAGGGTCATTAGTGGAGGTGAATAAATGGCTCATCGTGATTGGCTGAACTGTATTTGGGTATGCATTGAGAAGAGAATTAGTCTGAAGTTGAAGGATAAGTTGTCTTGCCTCCACATGGAAAATGCTTAATGGACTTTTATTGTGACCGCCATCACTAACTTGGAAGGAAAACTCACCAGTAGTGCTACCTGTAATATAGAAATAAAATAACTAATTTCAAATTCTTTTGGCACTATGATCAAATAAATTCAAAATATTTCTGTAAATCTAATGGTAATCCACATTGTTGTATATGTAAGCTGATTTAAAAACAAAACTCTGAACTTGATTATTATTTTGTTTGTCATATCCATTTTTTAACACATTACATGTATAATTCAAGGTTTAAACTGACTTATTGTTAACAGTCTGCAATTTGGTAGAGCTATTTCAAAAGAATTATTTAATGCACAAAAGCTAAACAAATTAATTCATCTAATAACATCTCATAATTGTCAATTAACTGTTACTAATAATATTTCTAGTTTATTCAAAGTTAAAAGAATCAGACAGTGTGTGTATAGAATAAAAACATCAAATTGAATTACCCTGATGAACAAATACAATATGACCATCATCAATCCAGGACTGCCTAAAGCTGCCAATAGCTTTAAATGTGTTGTTTAGATGTGAAATATGACCATTAGATGGCGCAGAAATCACAAATACCAAATCTTTAGCTGGTGTGTCCGGATCACGCGCACATAGGTTATCCGATGTTATCTGGGTCATAGAATTCATCCACACTGTCAGTCCACTGTTCTTTACAATAACGGGTGCCTCATCATTCACGCCCTCGATTGTTATGAAAAGTGTCTTAACATCGCTCTCCTTTGACCCATCCCCTAAAGTAGCACTCAAAGAAATGCTATCCAATTTACTTTCACTATCATCGTGTATATAGAAAACATTTCTTCGATTTAAATCATTGGATGTAAAAGAATTCAATTCCTCCCCACGGTTGTTGGTAATTTTCCCATGTTTTGGTGGCGTATAAATTGTATACTTCACAATTGGCTCATCAGAAAATTTGTCTTCTACAGTTAGTAAATCAGACGTTATTTCTTTTTTACCACCTTCGATGACTGTGAAATTTTTTATTTCAAATGGTAGAGTATATGGTTCAATCTTAATCAGAAATTCAAGTCCGCGTAGAGCTTCATATCCGTTTGAAACTTCAAATATGAAATGATCTGTTGTAGCACTTGTATTTTCAAGTTTGTATTTTACACGACGCTCATTTATATCTAGCTGGGTAAAAGTGGATTCCCCGTCCATCGTTAAAAGAGTATTATCTCGATACAAGTGACCTTGTTTTGGCATTACTAAAATCAAATACTCGATATTTTCTGGAGACACATCTGGGTGTTTTATCAACAATTGTTTTTCTTCAATGACATTACTGTCTAAGATATTAAGAATTTCTAGAGCTCCATTATTTATGACATGTGGTGGTAATTGTACCGACTCCAGCTCTATCTGTATAGAAAAAGTTCCGTGAGTCTGAATATCACCAGCTAAAACAGTGAACTTAAAACTGTCTTCCACGTCTGAACCACCATTATGTCTGTAATATAGTTTATTTTCTTTCAAATCTTCAAGATTAAACTCATCCACTGCATGACTGTCAATTTCTAACTGACCATGTCTTGGTTCTTCTATTAGAACAAAAAGTACTTTTTCATCTTCTACGTTCATGTTTGTTTCTATACTTAGGTTCTTAGATGTCAGGACGACTTTACTGTTACTTCTAACAACAACTCCTGTATTCTTAACAATTTCTAGAAAAGGATCGCCAGCGTGTATTTCAAACACACAAATAACGTTAAATTGACCATCAGTAACATAAATAGCTGCACTATCACTTTCAGAACCTTCATGTTTAAACATAATCTCCTTATCTATAATATCTTTCTGAGTAAACTGGTCAATACGAGTTTTTGTTTTTGCGTGGATTATTTCTCCATTTGGAATACCTCTTCGAGAATATTGCAGTTTGTTTGTATCGTATCCAATGTCAGGGTCAGTGTAAGCCAAATCATCAATAGTAATCAGTTTTTCTCCATTTCTTACAACTTTAAACACTTTATCCACCAGCCTTTCAGGTGGGTTGTCATTTCTCATTAACATTTTGATTTCAAAAGTACCAGTGAATTCTGGGATATTTTGTGTTCGCGTTTGTCTGTGTATATTTGGGACGGCAGTAAATGTGAACGAGTCTTCATCGTGTTCCGAATCATCATGTTTGTAAACCAGACTAAGATCTTTGATATCAGTACTTGTGAATTCTTTTATATCATTCAAAATAACTGACGATGACCTTGGATCTACAAGCTGGAGACTCCCATACCTGGGTGGTGTTATAACAGCAAATTCAAAATCTCTGAAGTCATTTGTTTGAATAAATAAACAATGGCGGTCTATAGCTTTTTGCCCCCCTTCAATCACATCATTCAGGCCTTTATTTGTAATACGGACATCACTTTTCATCGGAATGTATTCTATCCATAGGCGAACATTTTTTGATCCAGTTCCAACGGTTTTTACCTTAAGGTCAGTGAAATCAGAAACCTTATCAAAGGAGTTGCTTTTTAACTTGTAGATTAATTTACCACTGTTTATGTCATGCTGTGAGAAATTATCCGTTACTCTTAGAGCATTTGCATTAGAAAAATCTAAATGAGCTCCTATTTGAGAATCAACTTTGAAGAAGTCACCATGGATGGGTGCCCTTACAATCGTGAACACTATCTTTGCATCATCTAAATGGGGGTTGTTAGTGTGTGCTCTCAAATTGTCTGACGTTAAAACACGGTATGTTTTATGCAATAATTGTAATTCATTATTAGCTTGAACTTCAATGAAAACTTGCTCAAACTGAATTCTGAAGAAATAATATGGAGTAGTGAAACTTTTTGCTTTAACATTAAAACTGAACTGGTCTGAAGTTGAAGGGTTTCCAATGACTGTATGTCTGTACCTTACATGTCCACTGTCAATATGTCGCTGGGCAAATGTATTTACTTCTTTCCATTCTCCATTAGCATATTGCTGCCGTTCAATAACACCAAACTTTGGTGGGCGTAAAACTTCATAAAGCATTTCCAACTCTTGTGAGGGAACATTACTAACTGTTGACAAGTTGGTACTTGATATAATTGCAAATGACCCCTGTGGGAGGACAAGACCATTATTTCTTTGGACAGTCAATTGAAGCTGTACAGTATGGACTGTCAACTGGACTGGGTCACTCGATGCCTTCCCATCAGTTAATTTTAAATTAACAAAAGAATCACCAGATCCCAAGTGCAGGAACCAGATCTGTCTTTCATTAATCTCTGCCTGTGTAAATTTGGTTGCTGGTATTCCACTTTGTCCTGACCTTTCGAAGTAACCTTGTGTTGGAGCATCAGTTACAAGATATGTCAGTTCATTTGGGGGGCTATCCGGATCCTGTGCATAGAAAACTTCATCAGTTATCTTAATTTTTGTATTTTCAATGATTTTCAAAACACCACCACTTGCTAAGATTATTTTTGGAGGGTCATTTGTAGGCTTGATGTTTATTGGTAAAATAAAAGCGTATCTTTGCTGTAACTTTTCAGGAACGTCATCTTCATTGGTCCTACTGCTAGTAAATATTTCTAGTCCCATTGACACTTCATCATAAACTTGTTCTGATCCAAGATGAATGTATCTCACTTTGTGACGTAACAGATCAAGGTACGTAAACACGTCGTTATTTCTACGCTTGCCTAGATCCACTTCTATCTCTCCATGCTTTGGTTTCTTAACAACATATATCATTATTCCTGATTCTCTAATACTAAACTTTTTAAAGTCATATATGATTTCAATATTATCAGTTGTAATTTCAACCGTCATTCCTTCGTCTACAATCACCGGGTTGACTGAAAGAAGTTGTAAATCACTGTGGCTTGAATCGGAGTGAGGCGTCATTTCACCAAACAAGCAATCACCGGAAACGCAAAGCTCTGTCTTATCACATTCATATCCAATTAATCGACTTGCATGTATGTCATGTATATTATAAACTCGCGAATTTATCACAATGTTTCTAATGCATCCTATCATTCCACCCTTCATGGAATTTTCTCCTTTCAAAGATTCCAGTTCTTCATTTATAACAATAGCACGCCCAATATGGTTAACTCCGCCTATAAATATCAATCCTCCATAGATAGCACCACTTTTATCACCAAAGTCTTGCGATTTGTGAACACCGTCCACAGACAGTTCAATCATTTCCGACGTTACACTCATGTCCACTTGATGCCAACTAGTGTCAATTATAATATCAGAAATAATTGATACTAACTCCTCCCCTTTACAAGCAGTAAGTTGTAGTTTACCATTTAAAAGTTCTAGAGCTATAAAACTTTTGTGTAAGGAATGTCGGCTGAAACTGAACATTAACAATGCTGATGTTAATTCTGTTTGAAATAGAAAAGAAACGGTCCGGTCATTTGCAGGATGTAAATGTGAGAATGAGATAAACGATGTTTCTGACTTCAATGCTATTGGACTGTCTCTTGGTGCATCAAATAAACTATCAACATCAAAAGATACATCAACAACGTGACTAGGATCCCTCAACTCCCTTGCCCTGGATATTAGATCCATCTTATTCAATATCACTTTGCTAAAAGTTCCTCGGAAATGTTTTAACTCATTGTCAAATTTATCATTTGTCCGCAAATCTGTTCCGCCAAGATATATTCCCCTGTCTATATTCAGTTCCCCATGATTTCCTCGTATTTTCTGTCTTGTTGATGTTGTACCATCTATTACCATGGAGATGACATCATTGGCTCTTGTGACCTTGACCTCATGCCACTGAAGGTCATCATATCTATGTCTACCAAGGTCAAGAATAGTGTCATCACTTCCATAATTTATCTGGAAACAGACAATAATAAAATCATCATGAAAGGAAGAGCATTTTGCGACATTTTAAAATAGTTTTAGAAATCATGAAACAAATACAATATCATATTGTGAATTATCATGTTTCTTGTAATACATATGGTACAATACAACAAAGGTAGCACTTAGAGGCATTGCAGATAACAATCCACATATCTCAATATATCTCATAAATATTTGAGAGAAAGCCAGCCTGTAAACTTTCAAAGTGTTATAAAAATCTATAAACTTTCATAAAATCTCTAAATGCACATACAAATTTTAAAACTTGGTAAAGAAGTCTAAACCTTAACAAAAAATCTTTATTTTTTTCCTAAGAAAATAAAATATGCAAATACTTGAAATCAAATACTTGAAATCTGAAGATACGTTTTATAGATACTGCTACCTTATGTTCCCCGACAAAAATAAATAATTGATAAAGTTTTGGGTGGCTGAGTTTTATGTCATCTATGATATGTGATAAGATAATGTATAAAGTCTGTAGACCTTTTATAATGTTTATTCAACTTATTCGAAGTTCAAAAAGGGCCATTATTCTGTCAAAATCCATACTAAAGTTATGGACCTTTGATAGTGACCTGCTATTATGCTCTCAAATAAAAGTGTGAAGTTGCAAGCAAATATTGTTAGTGGTTGATTAGATATAATGTTGCATTAAAAACTTTAATCTGTGTGTTATTACACCAACACTCAGGTGAGTAAACTAGCTGTCCCATTGGAAAAGTCCAGCTAAAAACATTCAACATGGAGAAACTATCATTAAAACTGACATTATGTAAGACACACATTATTTTAAAGGGGCCATATTTTACAAATACAACTGAAGCAGACTATAGATCAGTCAACATCTGTGCATATTTTAGAAACGGTGAATGGTTATTTTCAATCTTAATGGATGATTTAAGGTATTTAGTGTGCAACTGAACTTGACTATAAGCTATTAGAAGGATTCTTCAAGCTGTTGCATAGGGAGAGGTTGTTTTTGTTGAGATTTTTTTTTTTAGTCATAAAACCAGATGAATGCACGATTTATATGATCTTATTGATGAATGCACCAGACATAAAGGATCATGTCCCCATATTCTGATGAAACATAATAAAGTCTAATGTCCTCTGTCTTTCTGTTCAATGTAAGATGACCCGGCCCCTAAAACTCAGTTGTGCGGTCACATACTTTGATGACCATCAGAAAAAAACACAATGACAATTTGACAAGGCTTTTTTCCTGTCCCAACAAAAATAACAACAACACAGAATATTGGTAGTTATTACATGCCACTCTTTAATAATATAAAGGAGGAAATATAGAGACATAAAGGATCAATACCTGCTGTTTATAATCTAGTTATTTACGCAATAATGCACAAGCACTAGAGTTGTTCTCACACATGTTTACACTTTTATAATATGATAAAAATCTTCTAGGAGCAGGCAGCTTGGCTGTGATGTTTTAATAAAAAAACTGTAAACTTATATAGATAATGTTGTCAGATCACACATGATGCACTGAAAATGATAGCATCTGTTTACTTAATCTATAAAAAATTTGAATGTACGACTGTCTTAAGATGCAAAACTTTATTGAGGGAGTTTTTAAATTCCTTTGTGATGTTGAGTTCAAAAATGCAACATATGTTTTATATGCTATGATTTTAACCTGATGAAGACTCATTTAATAAACCTTAAAACTTAGACAGTGTTGATTGTTCCACTTGCATCAATTTTCTTAGTATTCTATAAATTAAGTTAGATTTTAAGTTTGAGCTCCATAACAAAAATTTTTGTGGCAGCTAACTAAAATATGAATGCATCAAACAATAATCTAAGGATCGCTAGCTGCGTGGGTTCAACCCTCCACCCCCTTCATCCCCAATCAGGGGCAAGCTGTTGTTACCTTCGGCACTCATAACTCTTATTGCTCACCACTGATTCTATGAATGAATCCGAGGATGTGTCTAATAAGCAAATAGCTTCCTACACAATCAAGCTTAAATAAAATCTGTACAACTAAAATATTGAACAGTTTAATCCAAACTAATAAATGTCACAAAACAAAATCACCTTTAGTTGAAGTGTCCCAGCATGCAGTTGTAAGAGAAAGTAATCAGCACTTCCTGTCAACATGAGGAGAACTCCGTATGGTCTGGAGGCTTTAAATCGCAGCTCAAGATCTGTCTCACGGAATGCATTGTTCAGAGGGATATGTATGTAACTTTCACCATAAAATGATACTGAAAATAGATCATAAATAATACTTTAATGGTGTAACATAATAATAATTGCATCCACTCTATATTATCATAATATATAAACAAAATCACTGTACCCTGTCTTGCGAGCCTGAGTACAAGCACCTTACTTCAGATCTCTGCATCTTACTTAAAAGAGTCTATATATTTTAACATGAACCTTTCGTTTATACTTGTTTATATACTGTGATTATGCTATATAATGTAAAACCTTACATTTGGTTTTAACAACTTTATGATATTACAGACAAAAAGCTTAGGAGCTGTCAAACTGAAGCCAGGAAAGGTAACTCTTGAATACACATTTCTAAAACTATTGTTTTACATCCCTTGGTATTTTTATTGAACAATGTATGGGTTATGAAGTGATCAAAATAAGATGATATATAATTTGGTCACCTATAAATATAATTTGTTAAAGATGTATAAATCAAAAGCAATAGGATTTCAGAGCTTTGTTTCCAGAACAGTATAAAGAAAATTTTCTTTTAACACTTGAGCCATGTCATGACAAAACCAACGTAATCACTAATGCGTTTGCGACCAGCATGGATCCAGACCAGCCTGCGCATCTGCGCAGTCTGATCAGGATCCATGCTGTTCGCTATCAGTTTCTCTACTTGTTATAAGGTTTGTAAGCAAACAGCATGGATCCTGAAGAGACTGCGCAGATGCGCAGGCTGGTCTGGATCCATGCTGGTCACAAGCGCAATATGTTGGTTTTGTCATGACGTGGCTCAAGTGTTAAAAGAAAATTTTCTTTATACTCATTTATGTTTTCTTTCCTCAAATTGCTTAAATTAATAACTGGTTTTCAAAAATTTCTGACTAAAACAAAATTTTCTCAACATGAAACAGGAAATATGAGCACAAACACAAATTTTTTGTCTAGTAAAAATGTAAATAAATAATTATTTATTTCCAGTAAATTTTTGAAACAACTGAAATAAGATATTGAAGTATATGCAACATTTTTAAACATATAAGTTAAACAATAACAACTGATAAGATCATACAAAAATCAGTTCAAGTTCACACAAGAAGTACACATTGATAGCTTTGGGCAAAACAATTGTAACATATACAAAATAAAGACCTATATACAACCATATAAATGATTGTTATACAACAGTTGAACAGTAAATGTATATAGTCCTCCAATGATTTCAATGGCTAAAATCAAGATAACAGAGTTGTTAGGATCAGCTAACAATACTATCTTCTTTATTCATGAAATGCATGAAGTACCCTTCCAGAATATTTAGCCCTATGATCTATTAACATACAGACTAACATTAGATCAGGCTGATCTATCAAACTACAAGATTAGTGTTCAGTTATTCTTATACTGCTCTTGCAGACCAAATAAAATTTCTGATATTTCCTATATAAGCACTTAAATCCTGCTCTCTAAGCATTTATTGTTGGCTTTTTCACTAGGTTCTGCTATAGGAGAAGAAAAAAGTCTTAGACATAGAGTCTCCAAAAGCATATTCACCAAGAATATAAAGCACAGTCTATATTCATACAACAATAATTGGTCTAAAGACCATAATGATCTACTTATATTAATACAGATTCAAGAAGGTAGGACAGTTTCTTAAAACAAAAAGCTCATTATGTGTTCTGCTCTCTGAATGTTGGTGAACCCTGAAGAAAATATCAATGGCAGTGCAACACAAATCCACTGGTATTCCAGTAAATTGATTCATATTCTACCATGCCCTGTTAAAGATACAGGGCACTAGAGTGCATATTACACCTATATATATATATATACACATAAACAAGGGAATGCTTAATACGTGACATCAGATTAGTTATTAAAAAACCCGGAAAGTTTTAAAGGAACCAAAGTCTAACAAAATTTTTAAATTCTTCTAAAAAACAATGGTTGCCGCTGCAGGTTTAACCCAAGGGGGGCAAATTCTTAAAACTTAAAAAATTGTTTTAACCTTGGTCAGCACCAAAATTTCTATTAGCATGTTTTAAAAATGACTTTTTTGTTAACAATAATAACAATATTATCTTGTTTTAAGCTAACATAATCAGCTATGAAAGATTTACCGTTCATGACAAACCAAAATAATGGTTTCGAACATGGTTTTCCCGACCCGGGGACCCCCAGCGTCAGGAAACCTGTGTTAATCAGTTTTTTTATGTTTTGGAACCCAAAGTAGGATCCTATCGGATGGAGATGGCAGTGGTCCTGGTCCATGTGGGTCGAAAACCCCCTTAGTTGTTTTTCAGACCACGCTATTTAATTTTTGCAATCTAAAGTGAAACAGTGCATATCATAATACAACAACTCTCTCGAAATTGGTATCTTTTACCTAAATAACACCAAAATACCAGTGGAATACCTCTGTATTTTAGCAATCAAAAAATCCACTGTATTCTACTGGAATACCAGATACCACTAGAATTTACCAGTGGGGTACCAAAGTGCAATATCTTTTTTTCTACACACAAAAAAGCTCACAAAAAGAACACATTTTTATCTCAAATACCCAATTGTTCAAGGACAAAAACATGGTTTTCTCAGGAGAAAAAGAAAATTTATAAACTATTAAAAAAGCCTGCCAAAACAGATCATAGTGTAATTTAAAATGGCGGACATGTATTTTACTAACAATAAGGACACTTTCAAATCGTCGAAATTATAACGATTAGAGTGAAGGTAAATCATAGATTTCTCAAAAAACTTTTAAGATGAATATAAAAAGACAGTGATGTACCAAACATATTTTCAAAATATTAGAGACCTTCAAACAGCTCTTCTTTATTCCCACAAGGCAAATTTTGCTATACATAATTTACTTTGGATAAATGACTTTTTAATGTATTTTCTACAAACAGATTGTACTTCAAACACTCCACTAGGTTTAAATGAGTATCATTTTTTAAACTGAATATTGATTGTAAATTATTACAAAAATCTAGGCCTGGTCATACAATTATAAAACTACAATAAATTCAATAGTTTATCTGTGACAATGATCAGTGTTCTACAAATAGGGTTAATTACACAGACAGACAAAGAGACAGAAAAAATCTGATACAACAGTTTCATGGTAGCTAATTATTCATTCTAATAGGCATTTTATTCATCATTAAAGTGATATGTTAACATTGTTTATGTGAAAATAATTTTTTCTCAATAAGCTTACCCTTTAACTACAATGATTTTATGAAAGGTGAATGGGGAAAATATTTTCTGCAAAATCTTAATTTTTTTTAAGATATGGTGATATATTTTATTAGGTGAACATAATGCAAACTTTAAGACAGGAAAATCCACATTTTCTGAGTGTTCTCTTATAAAGATTATAGCCACAGTATTCCTAAATGAGTGCATTTGTATTTCTGAGTGTTTACTGACCTCAACAATGCATAATTTTCTTAAAGGTAAATGTATCCTTAAATTAGTACATTTCAATTTATTCCATGCCACAATTCGTGGTGGTAACATTAAATTTATTATGTGAATATATGAGCCTTTTAACATTATTACAATGAGAATTAATCTTGGCATGTAACTTGAACCCTCACCTTATTTGCTCCATAAATCTATACAAACATTGCGAACTACATGCAAAGATACAATAGTGTTGGAATAAAGTAAAATAGTCATCCATAACTCTTGTTTCAGGATCCTGATCTCATTAAAGTGTAACCTTAAACTGACATTTTGTTCCTTCATCTCTTTGTCCAGCTGATCTTGGTGACCTGGGATCTATCACGTGACCTTATATGAGAGTCACATTACATACGATAGGTCAAAGGTCATGAATAGATTCATCAATCATAGAGCAGACTGAATCAATCAGAACACATGGGCAGCTCTATAGAAACCATTTCCTCAACTGTCATATAAATCACGCAGAACTTAAATTAGGAGTGAGATAAGGAAATATCCTCAAATGTTTATGAACATTGTTTCCTACATTTCTCTAGCATAATCACCCAGTTTTTATTGACAATCACCCAGTTTTTATTGACAATCACCCAGGTTTCACACCCATGTTGAATGTTTGGCATCATATATAATATAGACATAAAAACTTTAAGGAAGGCACTGTTCATACACAACAATTTTCATTTATATACCTTTCTTGTTTCAGATATCATTTCCATTTAAGAGTCCAATGGACTACAAAGACATAGGTTGTGAGTTTGATCCCCAACAATAATACAACTTATAATTATCTGTTAAATAATCTGACTAAATCATTATGTATATGTTTATTCTTTCACCTTTAAGAACCTTGTTTTTACAGTGCACTAACACAATTTAATCATATGGCGCCGACACAGGAAGGACGATTTTTGCTAACCCTGGATGTTACAAACTTAAAGAAACACTATGGACGAAAGCTTTAGATACATAGAGTAAGACTTCAGTTATTTGAATCCATTTTGTTGGCCTCTTATGATCATGCAGGAATTAACGGTAGCTGTAATTCTTATGTATCAACCACTAAAGGCAACCCCTCAGCCACATGGGGGTAAAGAGCCTTAACCCTAGAAAACATCTACAGGGGTTACTCAGGTGAACTGTTTGGCTCTTTTTCTGATTTATTGAAGAACCTTTCATCTATTTTTAGAGATAAAATAGTCATAAACATAGTAAGAGATAGTGAACTGTTGTAAATAATTTAGGTAAATTACATATAGGTGTTAGATTAGCTCAACTTTTCACTGACCACATGTAACTTGGTTATCAATAATTAACAATAACCAATGATGTAAATTTTTGCTAATAACCTTTTTTCCTCACCCTAACAGATGGGCTGTCCAGTTTGACCTTATATAGTGGTAGTATATAGGTGCGACACTTATACTTACCCAGATAATTTGTCAAACAGGCAAGTTGGGCTTTAAATTGTGAACAAATTTTTAAAAAGAAAACAACCTGGCACTATAATTATAGGCAGAGCATTGTAACCAGACAGTTATTTTATTTTCTCAAGATATAACAA